CCCTGACTCCATATAAGAAGAAACAGAGCAGTTTACATAAATTGGGGAATTGTAAGGTCAGGGAACCAGTCTAGCTGGCTCGTACCCGTTCATAGGTTTGTAATCGATTGCAAACAAGTGCAATGGTCAATTGGGGCCAGTATTTGAAAAAAAGCCAGTTGTTTCCAACGCTGATCGGCCGATCAGCGTTGGAAATTGATACAAAATACCACTTTTCTTGAAAATGACAGTAAACCAGGTGCCATAATTTTACAGGATGCTTTGGACGGTCATTTACCACATCCTATTAAGGTATTTCGCAAAAACTTGGTAGTTTTATTCGATGTTTGCAAATGTTGTATATTCCCTTTAATTATCAACTCATTTAAAATAAAATTAATAAGCAATTAGCAGTTAATTAAACCTATATTATATACTCGGAAATACTCGGGCGCTATCCGATTGTCGACGAAACGACTTCGGCAAACTTCGGAAATTTTCGGAAAAAGGAGGAATTCCTCCCGTTTTAGTCACGTGACGTAATTTGTAATACATTGTATTACCGGAGGCTACCGGATCTCAACCTCGTCCCCAGGGTGTCGAGCAGTACGCGCCCACCACTACCTGCTCTCTCAAGTAAGCACTGGGGACGAGGTTGGGTCCATGGGCGTAGCGAGGAGGGGGCAAGGGGGGGGCACTTGCCCCCCCCCCCCCCCGGAAAAGCAAAAAAAAAAAAAGGAAGAAAAAAAAAGAAGAAAGAAAAGAAAAGAAAAAGAGGTGCGAAGACAAAGTGGTGTAAATTTAATGAGTTGGGGGGGGGGGGGCAAAATGTCCCTGCCCCCCCTCTAAAACTGATAAATCGAGATGGTGAGAAATACAAGCATTTTTTTGGCAAAAAATTATTTTGCCCCCCTCTAGAAAAAATCCTGGCGACGCCCATGGTTGGGTCAGTGTTGGCTTAGGCCATGGAGCTCCTTTTTGTATAGCCTTTAGTCAAGTCCCACGCGCCTATACCCGGACCATCCGGACACGTAACACCCCGGATGCTGGCACGTAAAAAGACTAGCACGAGCGGCGAAGCCGCGAGGGCCCAACTTCGTACCCAGGGTGTCGAGCAGTACGCGCCCACCACTACCTGCTCTCCCACCCTGGTATTGGATCATTTGCATGTGCAAGATTTTTGCACACGTATGCAAATGAGGAACAGTCTGGTGCCTGGATATGCGTTACACATTAGCGTTTGTTTTTGTATGCGGTGTCTGGGGTAAAAACAGAGTCAATTCGTAGCAGCGCGAGCACGGTGTGAGTTACGAAAACACGATTTTTGAAATCAAACTGTTACGATCTTATCGAGACAACATGCAGTATCATATTTCATATTAATATGAGCAAATTGGAAAGGAAATTAGTATTTTCGAGAAGGCGTGGACGAATGATCGCGAAAACACGTACTGCACGTTGTGAATATATAGCACCAAGTACACGATAAAAATCCATTACTAGCCAATTGCGGTATCCAATCCGGATACAGGAAGAAAGTTTCCTATCCAGGGTTTACTATTGGAAACGCGGTTGGAAATAAAGTAAGCACTGGGGACGAGGTTGGCGAGGGCCTTTACCATCTCGTGGAGAACGCTTATGTTTTTCTTAACATTTGTCTACCGATTTGGTAGACATGCATAATGCATTACCCGTTGTGAATTGACCATAATATTAAATGAAAATGCAGAATTACTAACGTAAATCAGCCGTCGTCTGGCGCCAGTGCAGTCAGCACTTGTGCGATGATGCGCGTGCTGTTGCTGGTAACCGCAAATCACCGTTAGATGATTGGTTTATATTGCTTGATTTATATTACGTGAATAAATGAATAAGTGATACGTTCCACGAGATAGTAAAGGCCCTCGCGGCTTCGCCGCTCGTGCTAGTCTTTTTACGTGCCAGCATCCGGGATGCGTTACGTGTCCGGGTAAGCGCGTGGGACTTGACTAAAGGCTACCTTTTGTATGGTTGCAGGACTCCAATGATAAATGCCCCCACTTCAGAAATGCAGGAAAAATAATCACAACTCTCCAAGGTGTTCGAGACACACATCAAATTAAAGCTTATTTCATCATCTTTCATATTCTTTTCAATTTTTGGGGGTTTACCTGATGACATTTAATTGATGACATTTAGGAGAAATTTCCATCCGAAGATGATCACCGTGACCCCTTAAAATAGTCCTGAAGCCCATCGTCATTTTGAAAAACGATGCAAACACTCCATTGCAAAATCCAAATTGCACATATAAGCTCACAGTCCTGTGCACGGCTTCCACAAATATTTTTTTTTACAAACCCTCAAGTTCATGGCCCAAAATATGCTCAAATACCAAAGAAATTGAGGGCATGCAAATCGTGATTTGGCCGGCGTAGGCAATTTTGGACCGATTTACTGGCCTGCACCCTTATAGCTCCATGCTTAGGCTAAGCAAGGTGAAGGTTGATAATGTGCATCGACGTGGACCAACACTTGAATTTTATACCTACAAAAAAAATGCTCCGTACTTTTGGAAAACCGTTCCGACATTTGAGGTCCAATCATAGCCAATCAACTTGACACCCTCCCCCCTGGAGGAATTCCTCCAGGGAATTACCATGTCAATATGACTCTAAGAAATTGGTGGCGCTATTCTAGCAACACATGTACAAATGCGGCGAGTAAAGATGCGGCCGGCAGGGCCTGTCAAAACCAAACCCATTATAAAAAATAAAGAAGCCTGCCTGGCGGGTCAAAATTAGGCATGCAACTTTTACGCGTATCCGCAAATGTCAACGTGTTTTTTTCTTAAAGCCAGACTTGGACAAACAAATCTGATACAGACGCGCATTCGGCTTGTTTTTTGCTTGTTTCATCTATTGTAATCACCATAAAAAAATGACACATAATTTATTTAATGTATAACGTTCTGGTGCACAAAACTAAAATGTAACTAAGGCCCGCGGGCTATTGAAAGGAAAATTAAGGACGAAGAACCCTGGAAAGTTGTTGGTGTTGCACAATATCGATACTACTTTCAATATGAAGTTTGATATGACGGAGCCTCCAAGGTTTTTGGAGTTTTTGCAACATAGGCCCCTGATGCTTTTCTAAAAATAAAATATTTTACATTATGCTAATGTAAAACCTATCATTTTGTTTGTTTATTATGTTTGTTCATATTTTAAATAGGCTGCTTCTCAACACATTTTGAAGTAATCGATGTGAAAGCAAATAACAGAGGGCAGTAGATCAGAAATCCATTTTTGTACCTTAAAGAAGCATGCTGAACTCAATGGTTGCGATCTTCTTTGGAATTAATAATGGAACGTATACCTTCAGTCGTTTTTTTTTGTTCAATTATGTTCATTACGCGGAAGGATAATTCACAGAAGTTGTCCGTCCTGAAGCAGTTATAATCACTCCTGCTTACGCACAACACCCGTATTTCGCCGGTTGAAAATTACCACCGTATGCTCATTATTTCGGTCAATGCTAATTATTTCGGGGCAATTTTAAAAATACTTGAAACGACTCTCAACCGGAGAGGAAAAGCTTTTATATGAATGAAAGTTAAGATCTATTTGATTCTTACGAATGACATTCAATACTGATGTAACAAGATGGGTGTAAATGGGTGTAGTATTTCTGTATCATACGTGTATTAATAAATTTCAGGTTTTAAACAAAACTCCAAGAAAAGCACTAAAAAAGAAACATGTTTTCCCAATCTCAGCAAGTTTATTTTTATTTTAAACAACCACTCCTGTACTTATTCTCAAATAGCAACATAAAGAACACGATGAACATTTCATAGTTGTAAGCAGCATAAATGTAGGATTTAAATATTTGTTACAGTATATATCAGTATTTTCTATATATTTATGGGAAAAGGGGTAAATGGTAGAATGTAGGTGCCAGTTCGTGTCAAGTTCGATATTGGCTCCTAATCTGCAACAGGATCAGCCTATAATTGAAACTATACACACTCTTTGTAATTGGAATATGCTGACCATGTCAATGCCCATCAAAAGAAGCTGAATCTCACAGTGTAATATATTTAAAATACTCAATATGGGATAATCTGTAGAATACATATTTTTTCAATAAGAAACATATATACTAGTAACCACAAATTATATTTTCTGATAGGGCTTAGATCAAAATTCTATATTGTTTGGTACAAAAAACCACTTTATCTACAAGGCTATAATCCTTTCTCTTTTGTAAATATCCGCTTTGATTTCACAATTTCGTACAGTTTCTGTTTATAATGCATTAATATTTAATCACCCCTTTCCAGGCAGATTTTGATGTAATATGCTTGCGCTTGGAAGCTACTAATCCAACATCACTGTGTTTGATAATATTCCTGAAGGTTCAAGGTTTAGGGAACATTGTGCTTCACATAAAATCAATAAATGATATCACTTGATTCATTAGTTCTTGGGAATGCCATCAAACACAATTACCAAGTACTTTTAATAACATTTGAAGACAGTTTTTACCAGTGTAGATACCACACTGACATTTTTTTTCTGATTCTAACAAATGCCCGTCGGTGAACAAATTATTGCATTTATCAGCCGAAAATTATACAAAACACAACAGCCCAAAAGTCCTCCATAAAATGCAGGATTCATTGTTGATCAAACAAATCACTTGACCAACTGAAAAGTTGCCGTTCTGTGACAGCATCACAAAGTTACATAGAGCCATCAATAAATAGATCAAGTATAATGCTGATATAATACAGTCATTGACCTCTGACACAGATCAAATTATAAGGTCAAAGTTTGGTCATTATCACCATGGACATATAAATATTCATTAGCAGTCTTACTTCTTTTTATCATATTTTTAAGTAATAAGATAGAGATTTACGGTAGCACTATGTGATACCATTTGTCACATGATGCTACCGTAAATCTCTATCTTATTGATACCTTCACCGTACAAATCTTCAAATCTTATCTTTTTTGAGTTGTTTTACATCTGATAAACTTTAAAGAAATTTTAGTATGTTCGTAACTTATGTGAAAAATAATCCACATACTAAAGTTGACAGTTTTTGGTAATCTTCATATTGACCTGTAGGGTATGCTAAGCTCTCATTTACCCATGGACTTTGAATCAACCTTAAATGCCAAAGACTGATTCCAAGCATTTAAACATTGCCACGCTGTTGAAACAAAAGTACAACTTAGTTTTACTGTTTAACATTGTTGCACTGGATATTGAATTGCATGAACAAACTTTCCAAAGAGAAGACATGACATTGTCACCATTACTTTCACATACACACTCTGACTTCGTTCCTTGATTGTGCTTGCAGAAACATTAATATATTGCACAAGTCCCCACGTTAATACTTATCAATCATGTTCAGAATTTGACTTGGTTTAGTCCAATGTGTGACACAACCTTTGTTACCGTGACACCCACACTGCTTCGTCGTGTTACCATGGTATTAATGGTGTTCCAATGATGTGTCTTAGGATCGTAACGCTCTACGCTGTTCAGACTGCTGCTTCCATCATTGCCCCCGACAACGTAAAGTTGTCCATCCATAGCAACTGCATCATGAGTACTCCTGTTGAGTGATAATGAATATGTGAGATTAGATAAGGCCAAAAAAAATGATGCATAGCGCCAAAATGAAAAAGTCACGTGATGTCTCAAAACAATCACTGGTTTGACTGGAATCCTGCTGCTGCACAATTTTAATGTGTTTTAGATGGGGTTATGATTGAGAATAAGCTTTATGTGGCCTCTCTGGACTCCCATATATTTGCACTAATTTAGTCGGGCACCATTTGCAGTCATCAGCCAACATTTGAAGCAAAAAAAAACAGGTAAAAAAAAAAAAAACCGCGTTGCCGCACCACTTTTTGGTCAAGCTCCATACCAGAAACCAGAGACTTTTTTTTTTGGCCTAAGCTCAACATGGAATGGGAGCCAATGTGGACCATGCAGACAGGTGTTTATCTCTGGTTTCCTTGGCATGAAATGACTGAGCGCTTTTACATTCCCTCAGTTTGGGATGCCAGTCCATCACAGGTTACTCCCCATTTAATGTCAGTACCAATTCATACTCCTGGGTGGTGAGAGGCCAGTGGGGGTGAAGTGGCTTGCCCAAGGACACGACACAAGGCTAGTAGCTGGACTTGTACCCCCGACCCTCTGAGACCCTCTGATCATGATCCAGTCATGTACCCTAAGGCCACACTCCCCCACAATCCTATCAGGTTTAGACAATACAAGCTAAATGAGTCTGAAGCCAGAGTTGCACCTGAAGTTGACGTTCAAAAACCCTATTAATTTTTGGAAGATCAAGAATCAAACACAAATTAATGCAAGGCAGAAATTAACAAAAAAAAAAAAACCATGAATCATTAATTCTACCTTCTTATGGTCATTGATGGCACAGGTTCCCACAAATTGATATCTGGATTAAATCGCTCAGCGCTGCTCAGGCACGCTGCACCATCATTCCCACCAACAACATAAAGGGCGCCCTCTACCACCGCCGCTCCCGTAGAACTCCGTCGACTGATCATATGAGGCATCTGTGTCCATGTGTTTGTTTGTGGGTCATACCTCTCTACACTGGAGAGATGGCAGGATCCATCATAGCCACCGAGAGCATACAAGCAACCATCTGTGGGCAAGCGAATTGGACAATATAATAGTGATGTAGTTGAGTTACTTGTGAAGGATCACTAGTCCATCACAAGTCAATCAGAAGTCCATCACAAGTCCATCACAAGTCCATCACAAGTCAATCGCAAGTCCATCACAGTCTATCACAAGTCTATCACAAGTCAATCACAAGTCAATCACAAGTCCATCACAAGTCAGTCACAAGTCAATCACAATCTATCACAAGTCAATCACAAGTCAATCACTAGTCAATCACAAGTTAATCATATGTCAATCACAAGTCAATCACAAGTCAATCACAAGTCAATCACAAGTCATTTAAAAGTTAATCACAAGTCTATCACAAGTCAATCACAAGTCAATCACAAGTCAATCACTAGTCATCACAAGTCAATCACAAGTCCATCACAAGTCAATCACAAGTCAATCACAAGTCAATCACTAGTCCATCACAAGTCCATCACAAGTCCATCACAAGTCAATCACAAGTCAATCACAAGTCAATCACAAGTCAATCACAAGTCTATCACAAGTCAATCACAGTCGATCACTAGTCAATCACAAGTTAATCACAAGTCAATCACCAGTCTTTCACAAGTCACCACAAGTCCTCCAGTTTCAAGTTAACTCACACGTACTTGGATCTACAACACTGCCATATACAAGTGATGAATTGCTGAACATTGGCAATACACAAAATTTACATAATTACATGTATATTACAAAAAGAACCCATAAGCAGGATTTCCAATTCCAAATAAGGAAAATGTGAATTAGTGGTTCATACTGCACAACACGTAAAGTTCTCAAGTGATTATTTTTTCTTTTCAAATGGAGGCATTATTCATTAATACTTCAAAAAGACAAAGTGCCCTTATTGACGATGAATGACATACAGCAAGTGATAAGTGCCTTGTCTTGACTTAAGTACATTTCTTATACTGTTAGAGCCTTGATTTGAATTCCCATCATCAAAAACCCAACTCACCCATGACTGCAACTTTAACGTATCTCCTTCTGGTTACCATGGCAGCCACGATGTCCATGTATTCGTCAATGGATCATAGCGTTCAACGCTGTTCAGACAAGACGCGCCATCGTACCCGCCAATGGCATACAGGAGCCGTTGAGAGAGGCCACAGCTAGACAACTACGCTTGGTGCCCATTGGTGTCACTTCTTTCCATGTGTTTGTTTGTGGGTTATAACTCTCCATTAAGGCTAGATCATTGGAACCATCATACCTACAAAACAGAAAGAGCAGAAAAGCAACAAAAAACTGAATTATCTGTTTGAATAATGTGACGTGTTGTGCCAGCTCTCCTGCGTCAGGCTGGTTTTGGTTGGTAGCGTGCCGTCCCGTGGTGTCCTATCCCTGCAGTGGTGGGCCACAGCACTAGGCTATCCCCTCTTCTCAGGTTGACAGGATCAGTAGACTGGTGGAAGTCAGGCCAGTGGAGCAGGGCAATGGGAGTGAGAATTGGCAATTGGAATGTGGAGTCGGAATGTCAGTGGAGTCGAAATGTGGGTCGAGTCAGCGAAGTCTGCGGAGTCGAAATGTGGGTGGAGTCGGCGAAGTCTGCGGAGTTGGAATGGGGATGGAACGACATATTTCCCTTGGGACTGTGCCCTTGACTTAGTCCTAAGTAGATCCTACCCTACACAGACTAACTGGTGATCGGGTCATAGCCGAGCGGTTAGAGCGTGGAGCTACGGAGTGGAAGGTTGTGGTTCGAATCCCATTCGGACCAAAAACTGGAAAACTCTCTCTGACGACCCAACAGTAAATGGGTACCTGATTCGTTCAGGAAGGTGAGACGGCGAGAGGAGGACTGGGCCCTGTCACTGATATGCCGCGCCCAGACACAGTGGACCTCTAACATCCCACTGCCCCTACGGCCAGTAATGGCTATGGGACCTTTACCTTTTACCTTTAGATCCTACCCTACACAGACTAACTGGTGATCGGAGACAGTAATCAAGTACGGTGGTCATGCATTTAATCATCATCATCTGTCATGTCCTTCCATCCTAATCAGGAGCGTTAGCAATTATTCTAATCAGTTGAGAATCAAGCAATCAACTGACTAAATCCTAGCCCTGCAACCCCCTGTATAGACTTGGCGCCCCAACTTCTCTTTGCAATACAGCGGTGCATAAACCCAATTGACCAATCAGAAACAAAGATTCCCAATATGCAAAGTGTGGGTGACTCACAGTGTCTTTGGTATTTAAAACATACAGTTGGGGACTTTACAATTCTTGTTCCGTCACAATAACGTGATTTGAGTGCAGGATGGTTGGACTACTGTAGTTGACCATTTGGAACCGGAGTGCAGGGCATGGTTGCATCACTTGTAAACCAATAGCGATCACACATTGCTATTAGAGCGCAGGCGTAAAGTTACGTCACAAATCAACCACTAGTCGAAGTCCTAGCCCCAATTTGCTCAATGTCGTCATGGCTTGATTGTGAAAGAGAGAACTTTTAATACATGTACTTCACACTGCATGTCACTTCCATTGAAAGCCATTTTGTTGAAAAAGAAGAAAAACTATCGGGCATTATTTGGGCAAATATGTGCATTTTTCTGTGTATTATCCAAACATTTTGCATAAAACTCACCCTCCTACAGCATATACAAGTCTCCCGACCGTGGCCACACCCAGCCTGGCTCGCCTAGTGCTCATGGGAGCCAGCGGGTGCCATGTATCACTCCGAGGATCGTAACATTCACACTCGCTGTGGATTGCAAATAAGCTACCTCCACCTGAAAGAAAAAGAAATTGCATAAGAGCGTTATAGGTTCCTTGTGCAAACAAGAGAGGGCGCTTTTTTACCACATCTGAGAGCCCTGTGGATGCGACACACTGCATGTGGTACTGGTTTGCACATGCAAAGAGAGAAGTACGCACAACTATTTTTATATTAAATGTGCACAAAGCCATAGTTTTTGCATGAGCATCAGGCGTCGTCAGCAATGTGTTCAAATGTCTCTCCCAGCTAGTGTTCTTCCCAGTGGTACTTGTGCACGGAGCCCACATGGGCACTCAAAATTTAGATGACTGATTGACCAATCGTATAATGACAGGTGCAGGGAGTTAATCTGTATATTTGACTATTACATCATTGGTTTTAATAAAACTGTGCATTTTATGGAGCAGTTCTTAAAACGAAGCCAAGGAACTGGGATTTAATTTGAATAGAAAGGTGCAGTAGATCATGAACTCACATTGTTAATTTAATCCGTTAATTATAGGATTAATTCATCGTGTCCGTGCAACAAAGTCGTATCCCCTAAAATGGGCCGTACGTAAAACGCGAGTTTCAGAATGTCAAAAGGTTGTATCTCACTTAAAATAACACGGATGTACACACAAAGTCAATGGACGTCGAGATACGACCTTGTTGCACGGACCGTAATTTGTGAGATACAACTTTGTTGCAGAATGGAATTACGACCTTGTTGCACTGACGTGACGAATTAGAGTTTGTATATTTTACTCAGTCTTAAACTCTCACACGTGATGATTCTAACTTACCAACAGAGAACAGCATTGGAACACAGGCTGAATTGTGTCTCTCCTGTGTACGAGGAGATTGCATCATGGTTCGTTGCTCTGGTAGTAAGTGATACTTCAAAGCTTCAATCAGCAGATCTTTGCATTCTGGACTGGAACGGACAATTGGCTCTGTCTCCACGTTGTTGACCAGGAAATCACGGGTAAGGAGAGGGAGACGAACACACTCCATCAACTGCAAGATACAAAAACCCAAATGTACTTTATCAACTACATGATACAAATACAAACCTCTATATCAACTACAAGATAAAATAACAAACATGCTCCATCGACAACAAGAATAAATGACAAACACTATCATCATGTACAAAATAAACTTCAAAGCTTAATCATTATCCCAGTACCTTATCAATCGCTAAAAACCCACATTTTTTTGCCTCTTTTTGGGGGTCCCTGCATCAATTTTTGCATGATGTAACAGAAAGATGTGTTACCTTGGCAACATATTTTTGTCTTGTGGGTAAATCCACCCGCACCCAAAGCACCACAGCATTGAAGACATCCTCTTCTGATGTAATGTTCAATCGCTCGCTGGATACCAGTTGAGCAACCTGAAATAAATGGGATAAATGTTTTGGCCAAGAAACTGTGGAAACTGTCTACAGTATAACTTCATTGAAAGACAATCAGGTTTTTGAAAAGAGTCAATGGTTGGAAACAAGTGAAAACATATCTGTTTGTTGCATCAAAGGTCAAAAAGACAATGACACACTAGCTGTTCTCTGACTCTTTATCGGAGTGACACATTGAGGCAGTGTTCAGTCTAGTGACCCCCTACCTTCAACAAAAATAGTCGGGATAATAAGAACCAATAATAAGCATGTAGATGATGACAAGACGTTTTACCTCCTCAGCTGGTAGATGGAGATATTCTTCAGTATTGACAACATGATTGAAGTTCTGCAGTGAGTAGAGATGCGATGATTGCTCCAAGTCATAGCATCCGTGCATATCAGCAAACCTTCTGATGCCTAGACAGTTGGATGGATCTAGCTGGCCTAGGAGAAACTTACAGCAGGCATCACGGACACTGTGAAGTTGTAGAAGGCTGGCTGCTGGTAGTAGAGACTACAGACAAATACAAGATTTGGGAGCAAGATCAGATTTAAACAGTCTCTTTTGGAAAGAAGTAAAAATCTATCTTTGTAAAGGTTTTTCCTTTGTGCTACTTTTTCCTTTCCACCTTTGTATAGCCCTTCAACTCGATTAGCCTTTTCCAAGGCCTCGTGAAATAAGAACACACCTTGTAATAATTTTGGCATCAATAAAATTGAGAAATATTTTAAGCAAACCTCAAAACAGTGCTGAATCTCTGATTAGGTTTGAAATGTTAGGAAATTAAACAGCAATTTCACAAAACTTGAAGTTGGAGCTATCATCAACCCCCCCCCCCCCCCCCCCCCCCCCCCCCCCCCCCCGTTCCTGCCACTACCAAGCCCGCCCACCAAAATGTCCTGGTAAACCTTGATACCTGTACGTTCTCTTCTCCAATGTTGATTTCTACCCCCTCCCTGCCCACTCCAAACCCCCACCCACCAAAATCTCCTTGTAAACCTGATTGATACCTGTACATTCTTTTCTCCAATGTTGATTTCTGACCACCCCCCCCCCCCTGCCAACCCCCCCCCTCTCAGATGTTCTGGTGTATGCATGTACCTGTACGTTCTTTTCTCCAATGTTGATTTCTGACCTCCCCCCCCCCCTGCAAGCCCCGCCCTCTCAGATGTTCTGGTGTACGCATGTACCTGTACATTCTTTTCTCCAATGTTGATTTCTGCCCCCCCCCCCCCGCAAGCCCCGCCCTCTCAGATGTTCTGGTGTATGCATGTACCTGTACATTCTTTTCTCCAATGTTGATTTCTGCCCCCCCCCCTGCAAGCCCCGCCCTCTCAGATGTTCTGGTGTACACATGTACCTGTACATTCTTTTCTCCAATGTTGATTTCTGAACCCCCCCCCCTGCAAGCCCCGCCCTCTCAGATGTTCTGGTGTACGCATGTACCTGTACGTTCTTTTCTCCCATGTTGATTTCTGACCACCCCCCCCCCCCCTGCAAGCCCCGCCCTCTCAGATGTTCTGGTGTACGCATGTACCTGTACGTTCTTTTCTCCCATGTTGATTTCTGACCACCCCCCCCCCCCGCAAGCCCCGCCCTCTCAGATGTTCTGGTGTACGTATGTACCTGTACGTTCTTTTCTCCAATGTTGATTTCTGACCTCCCCCCCCCCCCCGCAAGCCCCGCCCTCTCAGATGTTCTGGTGTACGCATGTACCTGTACATTCTTTTCTCCAATGTTGATTTCTGCCCCCCCCCCCGCAAGCCCCGCCCTCTCAGATGTTCTGGTGTATGCATGTACCTGTACATTCTTTTCTCCAATGTTGATTTCTGCCCCCCCCCCCTGCAAGCCCCGCCCTCTCAGATGTTCTGGTGTATGCATGTACCTGTACGTTCTTTTCTCCAATGTTGATTTCTGCCCCCCCCCTGCAAGCCCCACCCTCTCAGATGTTCTGGTGTACACATGTACCTGTACATTCTTTTCTCCAATGTTGATTTCTGCTGTGTATGCAAACTGTACCAGCTGTTCAACTGCCAGGGCTTCTATGTCACGGAGATGCACCTCTGACTGACGAGATTCAGTCATGTCACCTTGGAAATAAAGGCAAATCAAAATACACCAAAAACAGTGAACAATCTTTCATTCATTTAGTAGAGAATATATGAATCTCAGGTTAACATCTAAAATCACTGTATACCAGAAAAGTGACCAACATGTTGACAATGACCAGTGACCTTCTATTGATTGAATAATTGTGCTTGCACTTTACTCATACAAAAGTATCAGTACTTTTATTCAGGTCAAAGATAATTGAAAATGGCAGCTTGGGGTGGGGGGGGGGGGGTGTAGAGACAAACCTTTGTGAGGTTGGGGAAGCTAAAATGATGACTGGCAACTAGTTTTCCAGAGTTTCCAGGGAGAAAATTCTAGTCGGATTCCACAAGGTCCCATTGCCATTGTGTTCAAGGGGACCCAAGGTTACACCTCTATGTTCCAACACCCCTATGTTCCGACTGCACATATTCCTATTCCTAACCCTAACCCTAACCAGTAACACAATCGTATGTGCGGTTTGTCGGAACATAGGGGTGTCGGAACATAGGGGTGTCGGAACATAGAGCAGTCACTGGACCCAACATGGAATGTGGGACAAACTCAATGGGAACTTGCTACAGTAGAAACCCATTGGATCATCAACCAGTTCCAAATTATTCCCATTAGGTCCTGTTTTTTTTTTTTGGGGGGGGTTTCCTAATGATTCCCATTAAATCCCAAACTGTAATGGGATTCGATAACTGGAATTTTCTCCTGGGTTAGCTTGATTATTTCAGCATGTAGGTGGGGGGGGGGGGGTGTCCCTATTTAGTGCCAGCCTTAAGGTTAGTTCGGTGCAAAAGGAACACGATAAGAATATGTGATGTCATGTCAATTATTATCATGATGCAAATTTGCAAAAGGGTTTACAAAATTTTCGAGTGAATTTCCCAGCAAATGTTCCCCTGACTTTAAATTCTCTTCTAATTCACATTCACGTGCAGTATAAGCCGGCCTTTAAGCATGCCTGGAACATACAGGCACCACACTATTGTAAATCAAAAACAATTATAACTCACTTGTAAACATAGCATGGAAGTAAGCACTACATGATGCTAACACCAATTTATGAGCCATGATGATCTTCTCTCCAACTTTCAGCACAATGTCGCACAGTGTGGCTTGTTGACGCATACGATTCATCGCTACAAACGCATCGTTGGCATGACGAGAGGCTCGGTGTGTGAAGAACTCTCCTAGCTTAGCATTCTGGGATGTACAACCCACGGGACTGATTACCGGTGAAGCAGGGTGCCGGGACAGGGTACGGCTATGGGACACTTGTACTGATAGTTCTGACTTCTTATCCATTGTTGTTTAGAGCTGTTCTGCAAGTTTCTCAAATCTTGATTTCTCCTCTCAAGTTTTTAATAGCTCAGTTGCTGTCAAGTTCATATGCTGCACAATGATGTAGCTTTCCACAGGCTCATCTCTTTATACATCAAACATGCATATGGAGCATTCCCTCAGAATGATGGCCTTGCAGTCACAAAACCTTCTCAGTATCTGCAGAAATATCAGGAAAGAAGAACATTTTGAACAAAAAGTTGAGCTAAAGAAATAAAAATTTCAAGAATTGGTGATCCATCAGGTGTAAAATGGAAATGTTTATTCCCAAACAACGACCATACTAGCTGTTCTCACTACTAGTACCAGTAGTTCTACTGGTATGGGCGCACCATCAAATCAAATATTTTTGCGGCACCACAAACTGACAGATCAACTATGGACTTTGTGCGCATACAAAATGCATGTCACTATATGGGCAGGTGTGGCAGATCATTTCTATGATACTTCTTTTCACGGTGCGACCGACAATTTGGGATTTCAGCTTCGTCTTCCAAAATAGGCAGACAAAATATGCAGTGGATATTACAATTACACCGCTTCATGCAAAACAATGATGAAAAGCTCAGCTACAAATGATCAAACCTGTACACTTTGCACAGGTGAACGGTGAACACTGAATATTAAATGTGTGTGAGAGGGGTGACAAGGTGACAACCATTCTGAACAGAGGTTAATCCAATTTGTATACATGGACATAATGAAGCAGTTAATACCAAACACGCACATTAAGCAAACATTCATGTCAGCACTTACCACCACAATACTTGTGTGTTTTCCTTACAAGCACTAGCCTAACTTTGAGCCCAGAGATCAGTTGTTATGACAAATATGCAACTTATCCACACTTTTAATCTGCTTTGATTACAAGTTCACTGTTGCATATCCTAAAAACCACAGGAAAAAACAACTATTTCTAAACCCTAGAGGCACAAACTTACCACAAAGTGAGACCTTGACTCTCAATCAGTGAAACTAACAGATCATGCAACACTGAATAGAAGACTAGTTTGGTTAAATTCCAGGGAACCAATGGCCTGTTACGCGGGCAGTGTGTGGTTGCTGGTATTTTGTCAACAAACAGCAATGTTTCATACCCACAGGATATATGCCTGCTGAGTCTGTACCCAGGCAATGTACTTTTAAGAATAACAAGTCAGTTTTGAGAGTTTAATTGTTTCCGTTTGTTACTCATGTGGTTGGAATCTTGACAACAATCTCAACAACTCATTTAGAAAGTGTTGGCAGCAACAAAGCAATTAATCGTGCATGTAAATAAGTCCTACCTCCATAATCAAAACAATTCCATGAATTCCAGGGATAAAATAACCAAGTACCGTCACTGAGCCAAAAGTGGCCAAACAAGAAAAAAATATATCCCCCGCCCCCCCAAAAAAAGGCGTACATGTAACACTACAATATGAAGCTCCTTGTGAAAAAGACTTTGATGCTCAAAAACACATGTATTCCTTTGAAAAAAAAAAGAACTAGTACATTTTGTTGTTATTGGATTGCTTTCATCTATGGTATGCAACAGAGAACACTCTGAATATCATCTTAACCTATCCAGACGAAGCAGAAGTTCACCGAGGACAGAAGCCCCAGCACCATCATCAGTCTCAGTCATCATTTATTAATAACTCCAGATTTCTAAACTGATGTGGACTGGGGATATGTGAGGATGAATAATATCCAGACTGCATTACTCATGGCTAGGCAGTCAGGCCACACACCACTATACAGCATAGACTTATCAGTACATTTGTGTGGGTACATAGAGCAGACATCTCAGGTTCAGCTGGATAGTGACCTACCATCATGGAGCTAGCTCCATGGACCTACATGTGCATATGTCCATATTAGTACATTTGCTTGGCACAGCCATTCCAGTGATTCACAATGTTTTGCTCACCCAACTGAAATTTTCAAAGCTCTTTATTTGGATTCTTTTGCATGACTCAAAGAACCGTTCATTAGAATTTTTGGAATCACATTTTATATGATAGTTGATACATACATGTGCATATGTCCATATTAGTACATTTGCTTGGCACAGCCATTCCAGTGATTCACAATGTTTTGCACACCCAACTGAAATTTTCAAAGCTCTTTATTTGGATTCTTTTGCATGACTCAAAGAACCGTTCATTAGAATTTTTGGAATCACATTTTATATGATAGTTGATAAGTGTACTGGTACCATGTGTTTTATAGCGCCATGCATGAACCATCCGTCTTTTTCTTTCCATTCTCCAAACTGAAATTTTAACGTATGAAATGTAAAAGATTTTTTCTTTCAAACTGTTCACTTTTACTAACCATCCTAAATTTGTCTAATTCTAAATAAAAATTCTTTAGAAACTAAAATGAATACTGCGTGTATAAAATATTCTTCAACACTAATTTATAAACAAGAAGAAATATTCCTAGAGTATGTGAAAGAAATAGTTAAATTAACTATTTCTTTCACATACTCAAGGGATATTTTAACTTAACATTAACTTAATGGGATGTTAAGCCCCAAACTAAATGCTCAGTTGGAGCAAATGACCTCATTAAGATGGACATCATAATTAGATTTTCATCTGGAATGATATTGTTTGTGTGCCATAGAGAGAAAAATACCATCACATGTACATTTCCTTGTGCTCAGTCATGGTCATACATACAAAAGAAACACACGTCTGTGTACTAGATATATAGGAAATAGCTTCACAATGCATAATGGACCATATGCATGGTGTGATAAGACCACCAATCTATAATTTATGAGTAAGAAAGTCACAGAGCATGTGGCAGGAAGGAAGTAACAAAGCTGTTTATCAAGGTTGCTTTGCATTCCAGATACCAGAATTAAAGGTTCATCAGATTAGCAATGATCATTATGTAATCGCAGACAGAATGTACATCTGCCTGTACACTGAATAAAAACTGTCCAAACTTTACGAGTGATCTTCTTGAGCTGTTTAGACAGCAAAGATAATCATTGCATCCATGATCTAAGTTAATCTGCATATATGCAGTGCTAGGAAAAAATCTGTTTGGTTGACTCAAACTTTAAAGTTTCAGAATGCAAACCACAGTAAATGTAATAAAAATAGTGAGTGCTTTCATCAATTTGTCCTAGGTTGAGTGATTTTACAACAACATTAAGTTGTTGCCAGGATTTCTGGTTGACAAAACAGGCATTCGGGTTTCGGGGTATTTGGCAGATCTGGAATAATGGGGTTTCGGTTCAATCGTTTTGGCCGCACAAGTTTATCAAGCATGATACGATGGTACACATAATTTGAAAAAAAAACCCATTGATCCACAAACTTTCAAAATAAAAAGTGCAACCACAACAAAGTCTTAAATACCCATATTTCCTAAAAGATACCTGACATATCTGAAATTAAACAATCACTGGCAACAGAAATTCTATGATCAAGGATTAGTTACATTTTGGTAATCGTTTGAATTAAAAAAAAATTATCACCACCAATAAATGTCATTAACACACAGAAAAATCAATGAATATTTTTAAAATCAACATTACACTGAAAAGAAATAAAATCAAACATTACAACATTCCACAGCTGAAAACAAATGTAACTCTTTTTGTATTTAACAAGTCCTAAGATAAATAGAAAATCCAAAATAAAACAAAACAGCAAGTGTACAGCACAAGTTCAAAGCTGACAAGAAAACAAAATCACAACTTGGGTAAATATTTCCTTTTCCAACATTGCCCATTTTCCACTTTCATTCTAAACAGATCATGGATAAATTTCTACATGGAAAAAAATCAAAATAATAACTTTACTTAATAAAACAAGAATATTTGCCAACTGATTAATTTTCTGCAATTTGTCACTGAAAATTAACATCACTCACCCGCAATGCCCTTTTGCAGGACCCCTTTTGCACACCTCATCAGAATCCATACGAAATTATTTATGATGGGCAATAAAAAACTACCGAGACGAATTCACAAAACCCGCCAATTCGGAACAAAGAACGAGATCCAAGCTGTTCTTTGTTGAAGAAATTTAAGGAAATTGTACGCAAACCTTGGATAAAAACAGACAATGCATCCACCAGCTGTATGCAGATGTGGTATTGAATAGCGCACTGGCACCTCGCAACTTGCCGGGTTCTCTGCTGTTCAGTCCCGATCGCTATCCGTGCCGGCCGGCGTCCCGACTGCACTGCACTGGGCAGACTTGTTATTGTTTATCAATCATTTCCGCATGACTGATTCCAAATTCCACGTGACAAACAAATAACTAAATTATCGCCAATAATGCTTATTGAGCGAAGGAGATACGTATGCACTGTAAAACTGGCCATAAATCTGTCACATTTTTGTCACAATGGGTAAAAAAATTGCACAGTTTTCTTGTCAAGTAGCTCAGCAAGTAGCCCGACTGCGTCTGGCCGTACAGTACTATCGCAAGCTTGCGATAGTACTGTACGGCCAGACGCAGTCGGGCTACTCAGCAAGATGCGATTGTCTTATCTGTCTAGTCTCCGTCTCTAACGTTATGGCAGCCGTGTGCGCGGAACGTGTATGTCATAATGCATATGCTCCGCTAAGGAACAAAATAGCCCGAGGCCAAACTATTATTTTTTTGGGACTAGTGCACTATTCGTATAGGAAACTATAGATTTCAAATATCTTTAATTTTACTGTTTTGTTGCAAAATGCATACACAATTGATTATTTAGCAAACTTAAAACATATTGAAATTTCTTAAAATATCACATTTTAAACAGTTACTGCAGACTAATAAATATTAAAGGAGCACTTAAAAAAATTCCCCTGTGATAATATGGTATGACCCGGTGACCCCGCCTACTTTTAAGCTAATGTACAAACATGGCGGACAATATGAAGAAGCAACTTTCTAGCGAAGAATTCGATGCTCAAAAACGTACGTATTTCTGTCAAAACTGAACCAGTGTCGGGATTCTTTTCGAGAGTGCAGGGAACAGAGAATAAAGTGATTATCTTAACTTATCCTGATGAAGCCCCAACTGTTTCTGCAATCAATAATGCGATAAATAAATTCACGAATCGAACGAATCGAATTTTTTCCTGCTTTTGCCAACGACAGTCATTATATTAGCGCCCTCTACCTGTTGAAACAATCAAATTGTCAAGCAATGAATCATTTTCTAATTCTAATCACTGTGCCAATGCTATGTTTAAGCTGACTAAGTTATTTATGTTCATTGCAAATTTGTTAAAAGAGAAAGAATCTGGGACTGAGAAGCTAACGTTAAATTTTGTTAGAAAATAGATAGGCTATGTGGGAATTAAATAAATAAATATTATAAATAGGAAAGTGCATGCGCATTTAATACGATACAGCAGTCTTCCCCCCTCCCCCCAAAAAACAGTCTCCATCCTAATTGCCTTGAATTTTATGACGTCATTTAGAAGGAAAAAAAATCATATTCTGTTTTTTTTTCATCAAAACATTAATCTGTTATTTGTTAAACTGAAGTTGTAATTGTAAACGTCTTCCCAACTTTTAAACTAATTTCTACATTTCAACATGTACATACCGATACTTCTCCTCATGCAAGACAAGAACTTTATGAACATAGCACTTGTAATTACTGATTTTATATCCATATTTCCACAACGTTGCATTGTGGTGACTTCTTTGCACGGGATCTTGTTTTGACAGCTGCTCGCTAGGGCGTGACCAAGGTTAACTCTACAATTCATGGAACCTTATTGTTAGTCCAGTTCTTGTTTTGACTTGTCCATTCTAAAGTGTGTTTGAGTTTGTTTTGTAGCTGTGTGTAGATTGTGATTTGCTGTTAGTCATTCACCTCTTGATGTTGAAATGACAGATTCTTGGCATTGTAACAAGATGTTTTTGCATCATTTGAGAAGGTATCGTAAATACTGCAGTGATGTCACCAGAGTGTACCAGTGTGGATAATTTAGGCCCTGCGTCATAAATATTTAACTTGCATTGGTTGTTACTTTGTACATTAACAAATAATTTTATCCATTTTTTTTTACTGCAGATGTTTTTGACATCTGCTCGGGAGGTGATGTCTATAATGATCTCCTGGAACATCGGCAGAAGTTTCAGATGCTCAGTGAAGACACAGCTGTTAATCTCAAGAAGAATGTTTACAGAAACTACACACAGTTCATTGATACATCGAAAGAAATATCATGTATCCTTTGATGAAGAAACATTTCTGTGAATCTTCATTGTCATCAGTCAGTTTGATTACAAATAATGGTGGCATTAGTTATCATGATTGATAATAAAAATGGTTATTCACCATTAACATCATAACTATCGTATTACCATTGTAGCAAGTTTTTATCACCGAAATTGTCATTATGGCTTTATAATCATTTTATTATATGCGCAGCAAAAATTCACCACAGCCATTATCAACACTTGCACTGCCAGCATCAACTTACCACCATCACCATTATCACAATCAATACTATCACCATGATCAGCATCAGTACTATCACCATCATCACCATCAATGTAATCACCATCTCCAACACCATTGAAATCACCACCATGACCATCATCTTTGCCACCGCTATGTAGTGGTAGTCAGTCGAATTGACAATGACGTCTACATAAATCTCCAAAAGAACATAAGGTTATTGTCTAGGTACATGACCTTATATGGTTTTGTAGGCCAAATTTAAGAGGCAAAGAAATTCCCACAGACCCGGCAAGGAATACATGTAGGTCTCGTTCAAATGACGTCATTTCCTACAGACCATCCACGTGCATCGACATTGGAGGCGTCAACTTGCATAACGCGCATTGGCTGCGTCCTATTTCGAACACATTTCGAGCAACAAGTGTGCGTGTTTGGAACATTTTCAACACTGCGTAATGCGTGCTTGATTGCATAAAATACGCAGTTGCAGTTTTCCTACAGACATGGCCGTCATTGAGCTAGCCTTATATTGTCACCCGGAGGGGGACGTTGCTACTGCTTGTACCTCTGAAGCCTGTACACCTCCCTAGCCCACGTACACGCAATCTCAAAGACGTCACATGAGTATAAGCTGTTTTACTGTAGAACTAAAAGGATGTACATCCTCTGTATTCATCTTTACTCTCCCCTCCTAATCTTCCTGAGCATATCCTATCAGATCTTGAAGGAGAGATGTACCAATTGAGTCATGTACTGACAGAACAGAAAGCCATCATGAGCCAGATGTTAGAAATGTCCATCGGCAATAAAGGTGACAAACTCTGGATTTTTTATTTGAACTGTTTTTGATTTTTTTGAACCATCGCCATCATTCTCTGTATCCGACTGTGGGACATAGAGCCATCCAGGCACGATGATCCGTAGCCAAGAAAGTGAATATTTATATAACTTCGTAACAAAAGTCAACTGATATGTACTTAAATCAATAGTATGTTGATTGCATGTAGCCAGATTTTAGTGCCAAGTTGTTTGTTGACCCTCTACCCGAATTTTTCATTTGCAATATAGTATTATTTTTTTTTTACCAGAAGCATCAGCGAGAAACAAAGACATGCCTCAGAGTAAAGATGATCAGAAGAGAACCATAGCTTCCTTGCTGGATAGAGTGGAAGGGTGCTCGGTGAGTCATGATTACTTGACTCGGGGGATTGTTACAAAATACACTATGAATTGTCCTATTCACAGGTGTTTTTGTTTGGAACCACACGTGAATGATAGGTTTCCCCTAAAAGGAGCAATTGTCTGGGCTTACAAACTCACCTAAGAATGGCCAATTTCTGTCCTGAATTACAAGTGAAACTTGAAAGCTGTTAGTACATGTATATCGTCGCGTCAGTGCAACAAGGTCGTATCTCGACGTCCATTGACTTTGCATGTACATCTGGGTTATTTTAAGCGAGATACGACCTTTTGACATTCTAAAACTCGCATTTTGCGTTTATGTCATTTTAGGAAATACGACCTTGTTGCACAGACGCAACGATATAAGAGCCTCTGAGCTTACTCATTTCTGTTTTCAGAAAAGTTGGACTGCGTAGGAAGATTGAGTTCTGAACAGTTTCTCAAACCATACGCCTACTTAAACATGGTATAAGAAAATAATATGCCTGTGCTATGACCACCTATTGCAAGATTTTAAAGGTATTAGTCAAGTTTTGTTCAATCTTTGGGTTAATTTTACTTCCTAAGACTGACTAAGCAATATGCTATGATATTTCTATACGTAGCGTATTACAGAAGTCCCCGGTAGATTCATCGTCCATGACGGTGATCTGGTTGAGCTAGATACTGATACATTCTCGGAGGTTCAACGTGTACACGCCTACCTGCTGAATGACAGTCTGGTCATTACAACATTTGTACCAAACAGGTAAAGATTAAAGATAATTAACGCTGAACAGTATAGTCTCTTTAATCAGTTAATTTTGCATTCCCTGTGCTATTTTTGAGTTTCATCCAAAAAACTTAATTCCTCTTCTTAATTGCTATTTTTCTAGCAATACAAAAGTTTTTCACTTTTGAATGAGATATCGACCGAAAAAAATCAGCCCATGTTTATTTATTGGATTATATTCTTTACGTACTTTGTATTATTGGCTGCCAGACAATAATTTTGTTCTCGCGAAGTAGGCTGGTTCCTGCCCTACAATCAGTATCAATAATGCACGGACTGGGAGCCAGTCTGCTTGCAGAATGGATCTGTTTGTGTTTTAAACAAAACCTTTTTTTCAGAGAGCTGCAGACATCCAAAAAAGGAAAATAATGTGTTTTTTTGATGAAATAAAACATACAAGTTGCAAATTCATTGAAAAAAAAAAAAGAATCTGTTGAAGAGCACGGGGAACATAATTCCGACATTTCATAGTAAACCAATATCACTTTTACATTATTTGATGAAACAAAAATGGACGTCATATCAATCCTATGTTAAATGGTTGCATTCTGTAGTCCTCAATCAGTCAGAAACAAATAAAACTGGGTCTTGCTGTAGGGATTCAACAGATTTTGAATGGCTTGGTGGTGTGATTTGTCAGTATGTATCTCTGTTTATCAGTTGATGTTCAATGAATACACGCACAGCACAAATCTTCAGCCTCTTGGTTATAATTTTCTTTCCACAATTTGTGGTCTTGTATCAGGCGAGGCCCAGTGAGATATAAATACCAAGCCTTGTATGAATTGGACAGCCTGGCAGTCGTCAATGTCAGAGATGTTGGACGTAAGTTATCTTTCCTTTTCCTAAGTAGGAATCAATAATTGTTAATCATTGTATAAGTGTTATGTTCAAGTTGGCAGTTTACAAGGTCCAGATTTTTATGACCGTTACAATACTTGAGTGACAGTGTAGTGTGAAATGTGGACTATATAAAATACAGACTTGTTGGTTGCATTGCGCATGCCTATGTGAAGATAATAAGGATAGTGACAGGTCTCATGTGAGGGTTAGAATGCCTAGAAGGTAAAAGAGACCAGATTTCATAGGAGTCCAAATTGTGTATGAAAGCAGCACTAGTCATATCCCATTCTGAACATTAACACAGATGTTTGTTATTCACCTTATTGATCTATTTGTTTCAGAGATGGTGACGTATTGCATATACATGTAGTTGGATGAGGATTTTGATATATATTGTAATGTATGTTATTTTATGGTTTGTTTGTAGCTGTGAAGAATGCCTTTAAGATTCTCATGTTTCCCGATCAGAGGATCTACAGAGCTGACAACTCAAGGACAAAGGTATGCATTTCAATTCACTTATCCCAAGTTTATCTTTCTCAAAAGAAATTCTTGTATTACATTTAATCAAAGGTGCATGGGAGTTACCTTCCTCTTTAATAATGGGTTCTTATAGTGCATTTTTTTTTAGATCAAAGCACTTTACATTGTTTTTACCCCTGATCATTGGGCCAATTAAACATACCAAATACCATCTCAGCTCCCTCAGGGAGTATACAGCTCAATGCTGCCATTTCGGCGCAAGGTACATGTAGCTACAATCAATCACAATAACCATCTCTGCCCTCCCAGGTACCCATTTACTCCTGGGTGGAGAGAAGCAATGAGTGACAAAGTACCTTGCCTAAGGGCACATGCACCATGACCCCTGGCTGGACTCACAACCTGCAGAATTACCTGCAGACCATGAATTCAATGCTCCAGACCACGAGGCCACGGCACTCCACTTTGATAAAACTAAACATTTCTGTATACATTTTGTATAAGTAAATTTTCTGATGTGACAATCTTTGCAGCGTACTTGGTTAGATAAACTAGAAGAAGCCAAGAAGAACAAAGCAGCAGCAGATGCTCACAGGAGAGAGCTTGCTGAGCAGATGAGCGTGGAGTCAAGCGATTATAATCGTAAGTCATCATTGTAAAATAATGTTTCATAAAACTCAGTTTTGATTTGAAGCCAAAACATTGTGTCATTTGCTTTAGTTTTCAATGCGGCACTGCATGTCCACCAAACTGCACTCTTGTAAAGAACACTTGTGTATTATGATGTGTGAAAAAATTGTAAAACAAAATCTGTCTAACAATCTGGAACCGAAACCCATCCTATATATACATGTCACAGCCAAACTTGATAGGACAAGGGCTATAAATAATAGAGGAAAATACTACTCCAGGGTTTGATCTTTTAATTTTTTGTATCCAACCAGGCTATTGAAACAGACTCTTAACTAGATATAGCCCGCAGGCATTTTCACTAGCCTGCATGTTTTTTTCTTTAAAAAAACCCAACAATGTGCATACATGTAAGGCGTGTATTCTGAGGCAATCTTGTCAGTGTTTTTAATAAACAGATCTAATAATTTAACCAGTAAATAAAGTTGGACACAAATTGATTCAGGTTTGCTTTCTGAATTTAATGATTTATTTCTTCCTGTCCTTTCATCTTTGCCGTATCCCAATAATTGTTAACTCGCCAGCCAGGATACATAATAAATAGTTTGACTAGCCCGTCACTGTTTTGACTAGCATTTGGCTAGTGGGCTACCGCAGTCCAAGCCTGCTTCTCTGTTCAAATATTATTACAACCAAGCTTTAACAAAAAAGCTATTTGCATCACAATCAGTGTTAATAATTTAATGATTTTGTGTGCATTCATTTTTTTTTATCTGATTAATGAGTATATTTAACTTTCAGATAAATTCGATTTGAGATTCATACCTATGGAAGGTACACAGTTAAGTTTGAATTATGCATGAACAGATAGCATTCCGGAGCATATTACTGTCTAGTCTGAGAAAGAAAACTGAGAAAGTTCACTAGAGTGATGTAATACAGTTGAATATGTTACATTGTCTCCATGGTATTAGCATTTTAGCATTGTGATGTAGACCCCAACAGTTAATAATAACCCATTGAACATGTTGAAAAAAAGACATTTTAAAACAAATGAGTTGTATTTTTTTAAACTTAATAATTGCTCATGTTGGTTTCTCTTGGCATTTTGTTGTCATCGTTAAATTGTTTTAAAGTCAGTGCATGATCAATTCAAAAACTTATTGTATTTTTTAGACTTTTTATAGCTAGGCTCCCTGTTATAATTCAATACCATGTAAAGTAGGATCTTTAATGGGACGTTTATTATTGTATCTTGTTATTTTCCTGTCCTAGAAAAAAAATGTTTGTGTTTCCAGAAGATTGCATGCATGTTTGTATCTGCCTTGATGTGCATGGAACCGGAACCATTCGCAATTTTGATTATTGGGTTCAAACGTGCATCTGTTTGACCCTTTGATTTGAAACTTGGAATTCTGATGAAGTGATTTAAAAGCAGATTTCTTGGTTGTTCATATGCAGCGCAAGAGTAGGAACTTATCTCATTCAATTGTTGATCCAATTCAGAGCATGATAACTTAATACACTATTATGAATAACACAAATTATTAAGTGCACGATCCTAAAGTGCATCCATTATTGCTTGTTATTGATGGAACGCATGGGTAAAGTGCATAGTGCCTCATAGAGTAGACAGTATAGAATATTTTACTAAGTAGACATGCCCCAAAATACAAGCCACTTTGTCAGTTTATCACCTATTTGTGGTGTATGGAATGATGATGACTTTGCCAGTCTGTTTTTCTCCAGATTCATCACTATACACCTTTCTGTTCTTTCCAGCTTTTGATGAGGATGACGATGTCACATCTCCAGTAGCTCCTGTAGAGTCAACCAGCATGCTCAAGGTGGAATGGTTAGTGGAACTCCCCGAGGATCTAGACATGTGTATCGCTCAGAGGAACTTTGAAGAAGCTACGGATCTTATCATCAAAAGTAAGCTCATGGTGTTTGGCTTTGTCTCGACCAATTGTCATTTTTACAGCGTTTTTCTATTCAAAGTCATGAAACGCATACTAAGAAATTTGTGAATAGAAAAATTGTTGAAGTAAAAATGAATGATTTGATGTTGATGGTTGATTAGCTATCTATCTTGAGAATATTTATGGTATTTTTAATCGAATGTTTGGTTAATTGATTGGTTAGTTGTTTTTTATGCACGTGATGCTTTTTTTATACCCAGTTGTTTTCTATTTCAACACCAACTATTTATGTTTTATTGCAGCAAATGGCTACCTTGATTCAGTTCCTCAAAGCCCAGCTCTCAAAGAAATGAGGTATAAACAACAAACGCTGATCACTCTTAAAACACCTTCACAGAAACCAGATTATCTGTTAACAGTTATGACTCAAAGCGAATAATTTGTGACTCAAGTTAGTAGTCACACCAAATTCAGACTTAGACATTTCTTAATTATTCAGACACAAAATTCACTTTCCACATTTCAAAATATCACCCAAAGATCTGAGTGAAGTTCAAAGGATTGCTTTCTCAATGTCAGGGCTCGTGTTGACCACCGTGTGAAGCAACTCACCGACGTCCTGACTCGTGAGTTACAGGTATCACCTGACCGATCACTTAGAGGTGGGCCTCAAGTCACTCGCAGGGCAGTTACTCAACTCATACGACTCGGAAGAGCAACGCAGGTCAGCAAACAAAACTCAAACATGTTTTTCATCTGATAACCCTATGCTTGTTTTGAGCAGAATAGAAGTATGGGCTCTGTGCACAAGTACCCCCTCAATGGTAAGAAAGGGAGAGTTGGGGGAGACCACTGAGTGACAGTCCAACAAGTTGCTGACTACGCCTGATGCTCGCGCAAAGACACTATGGCTTTGTGCACATTCAGAGTAAAATTAGTCTTGGCGCTAAACGTGCGCAAACCGGTACACGTATGTGGTGTGTCCCATCTACCAGGCTCTGGAAAGTGGTCAAAAAGTGACCTCTCTTATTTGTGCAAAGAGCCCATTGAGGGAATGGTAAGTATTTGGTCGTATTCATGGTGGGAATTTTAAAAGGGGGACGAACCTGTGTTCACAGGAACGGAGTGCCCATCTTTCTTTCATTAGCGTTTGAGCTAGACTCACATATGCTGCTGTGGGGGGATCGCCCCACCTCCTCCACAGCAAGTCTTAATTAATACCTTCTCAGCATTGAACAATGCCGGTACCCATTTAACACCTGGGTTGAGAGGAGTAATTGAGAGGAGTACTTGAGAGGAGTACTCAAGGGCACAACACGCATTGCCACAGCGGGGCTCGAACCCACAACCTCACGATCATGAATCCTGTGCTCTACCGCTAGACCACACTAGCCCACAATTTTACAAAGTTTCAATCCGTGAAATTATTCATGGAAATGATGTTATACCAGCTTTTTCACTCCTGTTCAACAATTCCGTACTAAACGTATCCCCACTCTTTTCTTCCTTGTAAAGGCATGTGACTTGTTCCTGAAGAATCGCAGCGCATCCATCAAGCAATCACTGCGACAACTGAAGATAGAGGGCGCTACCAGCATGTACATCACCAAGCTGTGCAGCGTGTTCTTCAATCACATCATAGAGACGGGGAAGGAATTCCGGTTTACGTTTGCCGAGAACCAAGGATGCTTCTCAGGTAATGAGACAAACCAAAGATTCCTCCTACATTTGTCACATTGCTGTATTGTAACACAGTAGATCATGTAATGCACATTGGCTGAGAGTGGCCTGCCACTGTAATAAAGAGATGAAAACTCATATTGGATTGATTTTGAGCTACTTTATTCATCAATGGGTGTTGGTGACGGTGCGTTATAAAAACCTGTTTACTGTTTCAATGTTGGAATTATTATATTCATAAAGCTTTTGTCGTCTGGAGCAAAGCTGAGCTGAAGACGTTCGCCAATCACTTCTCACGCCAAGCCCTTGCCAAGAAGACGAGTGTATCTACCGTTGCAGAGTGTGTGGGTATCGCTCGTAGTTACTGCCAACAACTGTCCGTTATTGGCTTAGAGCTACTGTTTGCTTTGAATTCTCTGATCCTACGAGGTATAAGGGAAGCACTGCAGTATAACAAGGATCAGTTGATTGAGGCATCCAGGCACAGGAACGTGGTGAGTTGTCAACAGTCTAACATTGGTATGACCTGGCCTAAGAAACTCTTGTTTCCTTTCGCACTTACCATTCTACAGGGTGAGTAAAACAAACGCAACCCACATGGCAGGACCAATTTTTGAATGAAGTTTTGCTTGTAGCACTTTCAAAATCTAGGATATGAAAGCCCAGTCATTAAGCTTTCTTTTAGTCCAAGAATTATTTAAATCAATGTACTTTTCAATTTAAGGCAGTTTGAACACAAACACTGTTTTTAAATTTCTGTCCACAGATCACAAAAAAAGTAAGATTCTTGAGAATTGTTTTCGTTTTGCTGAAAGAACACTGACCTTTTTTGTGATCCTTGGACAGAACTTTAATACGGTGTTTGTGTTAAAAAAAAACTTGAAAAGTACATGAGTGATATTTGAGTGATTCTTGAACTAAAAAAACAGCTCATTGACGAGCTTTCATATCATTCCTGGATTTTCAAAATGCTACAGGCAAAATTCATGCAAACTTGGGCCTGCCATTTGGGTTGCGTTCTTTTTTACTCACTCTGTAATCTTCCATAATTCAATGCTTAATTTTGGAGGATGCACTGAAGTATTCACCGTCGATGATGTAGAGCTGTTGTATCCGTTTCTTGCCTTCTTTGTTGTTCCATTACATTGTACTGAATGTTTTTTTTCTGTCTTTAGGATGAGCGATGGTATCCATTGAACCTGAAGAACCCAAGCGCTGCTAATAATCTCATCCAGGAGATGTATCAGTTAGGATTTGAGGATTTCAATGCTCTGGTCTATGGTATGCAGCATCAGATGTTTTATTTCATTTGGGGGGGGTATTCATTCCCACAAATTTTGATGATTCAAATAAAGATACATACTTTAGAAAAGTTACAATTATGCACATAACATTAATCTCAAATGTAAGAATTTTATCAGAAACAGTGGAAAGTAGAAGGATAATGTGGAAGAGTTTTCAGTAACTAACACCACACGATGATTTTCTTTTAAGAATACTTAAAAGTATTTACTTTGGTCTCAGAATCTTAAGTGACCCAGGAGAGGCAAAATGCCAAATGTTACTACAAACCCTCCTCATTTTTGTGTTGTGATTTTGCAATATGGAATAATATCGTCACTCTTATTACGATTCCAGACGGGTGCTTTGTGAGTCTTTCCAGTAGCAATGTTGCCTTTACCAAGGTCTTACTGTCATTCCTTCACGATGCACTCAAGTTATATCTACCTGAGGTGAGTCATCTTAGTAAGCCTTTTTAACAACCAATCCCGTACCCCCCCCCCACCCCCCCGAAAAAAAATAGAACATGAGTGCTTCCTAGTTTTGGGTCACTTTGTTGGTATGATCGTTTCATGGACTGATACGACTTGTGGGAGGGGCGTTGTTGTTGGGGGGGGGGGTTGGTTGGTACTGGCACCTGTTTGGTGTCGGATAGTATACAGGCCTCTCCACATGGAGCAGCATCCACAGGTGCACCATTGGACACAAAAGTATCGGCAAAAGAGGTGAAACAATGGAAGAATCCATCTTGGATAATCTACCATCTTGGAAAAAAAGGGCCGCCTCCCTTTAAAAAAAAAAGCCCGGGCGAGACACAATTTTTTTTTTGACTTGGCCTAATACATGTTTTCTCGTCAGCTTTATCCTGATCTTGTCTGGACTATCAGGGATGTCATGGACAGTCATGTTCATCTGATGGAGACCGCCGTCACGTCTGATAGGTTCGATGACGAGAGACCTTTCATCATGAAGAACGTTGATTACATATTCAACCGACTTCTGCCGCTCGTTGAGAAGAAATTGAAGGTGAGCATATTGTGATGCATCATGGGTTAACATTGTAGAAAAAAAGTTAACAGGATTTTGTTCTTGTATTTCTCAGATGATTAGCAAGTCATTGACGTCACAGCACAAAGTCCTCGCAAGTCATCCTGTCCCAAATCAAGTTATATAATATTCATTTTTTCATATAAACCACAAATAAAAATAAGTATAGTAATAGAAAGCCATATCCAGGTTTGCTAATGTTGCTAGCATTGTGACTTTGGGTGTGATCCCTGGCTACATGGCATATACGGGTTAATGGCTTCTGACTGGCGCCCCTTGAACAAAGACATTGACAAAATGGGGAACCACCAACATAGGGCTGTATAGCTCAGTTGGCAGAGCACCAGAACGGCAATCTGGAGGTCGCAGGTTCAAACCCCACTCCAGTCAATTGCTTTGTTCATCTTTGAAAATTTATAAAAAGTATTCAGTCGGAACTTTGACAAAGGGATTTTTTGACTTGTGATTGACTTGATGACAAATCTGACAAAGTAACGTTAATTGCATAGTATTTTTGAAAATGTATGGAAACAATTATTGATACCACATCACAATCTGTGAAGTCGCAATCCAATTTTTCAACCACCTCATTGATATGTGTATACTCTTGATTGCTATAGGATGTTGCTGATCGCAGCTTGAAAGAACTGAAAGACCTCCACAAACGACATCAAGAAATCTCGCAGAAAGTCCAAAATCTAGGAGCTTTAATATAAAAAGGTAAACATTCAAAATTGGGAAATTGAGTTTGTTAGGGCAAGGATGTTAGACTGTGAAGTTGCCAGTATAATTTCTATCAGGCAGTTGTTATCCAATCACCACCACATGTTGTAGAATGTGTGTGGTTTTTTTTTTTGGCAACTTTAATTTTTTTTCTCCAGATTTTAAGGGTAAATTTTATCATTTTAATCCCTCAATAGGATTGTGATTTATTGTGATATTTGCGTTTATTTTCCATTAGTGCAATATTATTTTTGTATACTGACCAATGCTGTAAATAAAAATAAAATTTCCTCTATGAATGCCAAACTCTGGCCTTGTCAAAAAAAAAGTCTAGAGAGAACCTGCAAAGTTGTAAGGTTTTAAAACAAATAAACCATCACTTTCTTTGTGTAAAGGAAGCTGAAGCTCATGTTACTCGCAAATATCATTAACAAAGTTTGAGGTAAAAATGTTAAGATCTCAAAGGATTCAGTCATTCATAAAAAAAATATGGACAAGGCTTAGTCATTAGGTTTGCTAGTATTTCTTTACAAAACGCCTCTTGACATTTGTTGAGAGAGTCATTACTCATTTGTTTTTATATAATAAATGTACTCTGTATTAGAAATTTTCCAGAAGTATTTTTGGTTTAATTTGATCCCAAACAGAAGGCTCAAACATTGTGTATCCAACCCAATCATCTGTGATACTTTCATCTAATTAGTCAACTTGAATTTGAAAACAATAATCATGTTTGCTCATAACTTATAATGTTAAAGGGTTGTTGCATTTTTCAAAAAAGAAAGTTTAAAGTTTCATTTTCAGAATTTGTCACAATTTATAAAGAAATTGTTTTTTTCTCCAAGAGCACGCCCAGAGCTGATGAGAAAATAAATGATACAGAAACAAGTCAATGTCTGTTAATCTTCAGTGTTTATTAGTGTCTCGGCACATTCAATAAAATTGACAAATAAAGTGTAAGAGCTGGATATGATTCAGAAGTGAAATAAACACAAATAACTTTTTTTTTACTCGACATTCTCTTGCATGTTTCCTTGAGTACAGGTTTTAAAGGACTTAAATCTACCGCTTATTGCATCGTTTAATTGTAGGTTTTCCTACTTGTCCACGTCTGATAGATAATATGTTAATATTTAACTTCAAAGTAGTTGTTCAGTCCTTGAATACAGTTAATGTAATAGAGTCGCTGGTTTTAGTGAACAGGAAAAACACACACAATGAAATAATTGTGTTTGACAAATACAAGTTAATACATATCTTGAAAATATGTAAAACCCATTTTTTTTGTGCCACTCTTACGAAACACCAAGATTATTCAAGCCTTGCTTTTTTTGACACAAGGCTATTCTTTATTTCTGATCTCATACACCCACTCCCACAGCCTGGCTTGTTTCAGGTACTCCTCTAAAGATATTTCAGTTGGCTTTTTTACCTCAAAATCAGGACTAGTCTTGGACTCGACGGGTAGGCCAGTTGGTTCTTTAACCTCAAAGTCAGGACCAGTCTTAGACTCAACAGGTAGGGGAGTGGGTTCCTTAACCTCAAAGTCAGGACCAGTCTTGGACTCGACAGGCAGGGCAGTTGGTTCCTTCACCTCAAAGTCAGGACCAGTCTTGGACTCAACGGGCAGGGCAGTTGGTTCCTTAACCTCGAAGTCTGGACCAGTCTTGGACTCAACAGGCAGGGCAGTTGGTTTCTTAACCTCAAAGTCAGGACCAGTCTTGGACTGAACAGGCAGGGCAGTTGGTTCCTTCACCTCAAAGTCAGGACCAGTCTTGGACTCAACAGGCAGGGCAGTTGGTTCCTTAACCTCAAAGTCTGGACCAGTCTCTGACTCAACAGGCAGGGCATTTGGTTCTTTCACCTCAAAGTCTGGACCAGTCTCTGACTCAACAGGTAAGGCAGTGGGTTCCTTCACCTCAAAGTCAGGACCAGTCTTTGACTCAACGGGCAGGGCAGTTGGTTCCTTAACCTCAAAGTCTGGACCAGTCTTTGACTCAACAGGCAAGGCAGTGGGTTCCTTCACCTCAAAGTCTGGACCAGTCTTTGACTCAACAGGCAGGGCAGTTGGTTCCTTAACCTCAAAGTCAGGACCAGTCTTTGACTCAACGGGCAGGGCAGTTGGTTCCTTAACCTCAAAGTCTGGACCAGTCTTGGACTCGACAGGCAGGGCAGTTGGTTCCTTCACCTCAAAGTCTGGACCAGTCTTTGACTCAACGGGCAGGGCAGTTGGTTCCTTAACCTCAAAGTCAGGACCAGTCTTTGACTCGACAGGCAGGGCAGTTGGTTCCTTCACCTCAAAGTCAGGACCAGTCTTGGACTGAACAGGCAGGGCAGTTGGTTCCTTCACCTCAAAGTCAGGACCAGTCTTTGACTCAACAGGCAGGGCAGTTGGTTCCTTAACCTCAAAGTCAGGACCAGTCTTGGACTCGACAGGCAGGGCAGTTGGTTCTTTCACCTCAAAGTCAGGACCAGTCTTGGACTCGACAGGCAGGGCAGTTGGTTCTTTCACCTCAAAGTCAGGACCAGCCTTGGACTCGACAGGCAGGGCAGTTGGTTCTTTCACCTCAAAGTCAGGACCAGTCTTTGACTCAACAGGCAGGGCAGTTGGTTCTTTCACCTCAAAGTCATGACCAGTCTTGGACTCGACAGGCAAGGCAGTTGGTTCCTTAACCTCAAAGTCAGGACCAGTCTTTGACTCAACAGGCAGGGCAGTTGGTTCCTTCACCTCAAAATCAGGACCAGTCTTGGACTCAACAGGCAGGGCAGTTTGTTCTCTAAGCCCAAATACAATCTATGTTGATAACAAAAAATAAAAAGAAAGGGGACGTGGAGGGAATAAATACAATCAAAAAGGAAACAATAATTTGCTTTGTTTATCTTTAAGCATTGTGTATATTGTACCATCTGCAACAAGCATGCCTGCCTTTAAACTGACGTTCGAATTAGGAAATGCCCTCCATATTTGCCAAATGACAAGAATGGATACATGCAGACATTCTTAGGTCGTTTTTACTTCGCTTGTTACATAAAATCCCTTTGTTTAAAAGTACATGGGAACATTTGCTCCGTGTGCATTTTCTGTTTCGTTTGAAGCAACAAAATTGCTCTCAATCTTAAGAAGGGTGCATAACAACTAAGTTGTTGAACTTTCAGCTCAGTGGATACTATACATTTGGAGAGAATAGAGAAAACGCATGCACAATTTGCGGGAATATGGGGCATCGTAACTGGATGCCGTTACTAACGCACACACACACAAGTCTTAGGGGCACATTTTTCTTTAAAAACCTGAGGCTTTTGCAATGTTGTCCCATGATGGGGGAATTGGGAAGTGTGATACCTTCCCCATTTGTTCGTCTCAGGCGAAGTAAATTAAATAGAAACTTCCGATAAAATTAAAAATTTGTTTTAAAAAATGCAACGATATACTCAGCCCATATATAAACGCAGCTTTCTGAAACCGTGATGGAGCCCAGTCCTATGGTTCGCCAAAATCGTCTTTAAAAGAGTTCAACTTACCGGTTTGCCCGATGCTAGGACGCAAAGATAGAGAATAGTTGCCATGACAACCACTTTGCAAAACAACTTCATCTCCGCAGCTTTTTTTTTTGGTCCGAGAACGGTCAAAGAATATCGGAACCACTTTTGAGAATGTCTGTTTGAATATTCCCTAAAGGAATAAATGATTTTTACAGCCGTTTTGCCGTGACAAAATAGTTTGTGACTGTCATTATTAATCAACCTTGATTAATGAGACTGAAGTAGGAAGTTATAATGTGCAGTAATTTTATGATTTAGTGTGAGACGATAATTATAGAAGTTAGACTCATGTACCATTCGCTTATAACTGCTGCCGTGTATTTCCAGGCATTGGCGAGATGCCTGTACCTCACGAAACGGCTCGCACGGAGATTGGTCATTATACCAGTCTTTGTACGAGAATGCAGGAAATACGTCTAGATGTCGGGATATTAAATTTGGAGACTCTTCAAAATAAATTACTTCCGTTTTTGCTGGTATGCGGCAGACCAGTTTTTTTTTAACAACTGAACTTATTGCTGACTATCGAATTTTGGATTGTTTCGCATTGGTTTGAACTTTAATCCAAAGCAATTAGCTGCACTTTGTTCATTAGCATAAGAATTAAAATATGGATCGTGTTAATTAATATGTCTGGTAAGCTTCATCAGGGAACAAAGCAAGATTAAAAAAAAATGTCCCGGCGTCATGCTTCCTTGCGTTCTGCGTTAATGGAAACATTTTGGGTCATATCGGCGCGATAACGCGAGCACGGGGCGCTCTTTCTGTACCTAAATCCCGTGCATGCTTGGCTGATCGTTTGGTACTTTAGTATAAAATGTGTCAGTCATTTTTAGTATTTTGAATGTCCATTTATGCTTAAAAAGGCCTATTTTTATGTTTAAAAACAGCCTATTTTGCAATAGAAAAAAAATCCGAGTCTCACTTTTGAAGCCCGTTGCATTTCTTCGTAACGTTATTTAGACCACGGCGACAGACCTACATGTATATATCCATATGATATGATAATTATGAGTGAGTGATCGCGATCACTATATCGATCTAGAGACGTCATCACGACATCGACACCCATACCATTTCTCCGGATCGCATGTTGTGGATAGCCATCCCATGTTCTTATTCCTCCATGGCCATCCATACCTCGACAACGTCCACAAAATGGGTTGATTTCATTGGCTATTTTCTTATTTCCGCTTGATAATTTTGCAGGTTATTAGTATGCATTGTTCGTTCGTGTCATTTCACGTACAGACTGCAGTATTGCCGCTTGTGAATAATTAATTAGATAAATTTACTGAGCAGCCATTGGCTGGTTGGGATGACACACCCCTACCACGCCTTCAGATTATTAGTCTCGCGTCGAAACGAACCACTTTCCAAGAAATTGAAGTAAATAAACAGGAGTATGACATCAAACTTATCGAGGATAGTAGAATTAAAGGACATAAGCAACTATAACTTTACCGAAAAATGTTGCAAATTAACCACGGAGCTATAAAAAGGGCCCCATGGATTAAAATTCAGCAAACATACACCCACACAAAGGGCGCCCTCGTGCGACCACAGCTACGAGAATAGGCAGGCGCCCATTTATGTCGTATTCTACAGATGAGTTATAAGGAGTTTCAAAAGACAATAGAGGACACAGGATATCAGACTTTAAAGCTTGCGTCGAATTTGCCGTCGATTTTTGCGAGTATCGTGACACTTTATCATTTCATTCATGTAAATGAAGGTCTGCACATCATAACAAAAGACAGCAAAATGTTGAGAACAAGGGTGTTTCTTCAGAGAGCATACCAAGGGTGAGTTACATGAATTGCATGCAATTTATTTATGGCCTTTTCTTTGCGTAGAAAATTGGATAATTTTGTTACGCTCTTCACTTCGCGCGTCACCGCGCTGCGTGTACATGTGCACATTGGAAATTGACGGGGTAATCAGGTGATTCTATCGCGTGATTTATGGTGTGTTTACACATGAAGAGTTCATGCGCAAAAACCGACAAACGCCATTCGATCTGAAAATAAACCATGACTACCATTATAAAGTCCGTGGCGCCCTCTATCTGATCATCCAATCTGTTTCGTTGCAAATGCCGTTATGCCCTACGTAAAATGCATTGCAATTCCTTGTTTGGTTTCAGAAACCGACATGCGCCAGTCTACGTTTTTCGCAAAAGCCGACAATTCCATTCAGCCAATCAGCGCACCATAATTTAGTCAGGTGATCCATGATGGCGGCGCCCGTGTTCACACTGTAAGTGCGGTGTTCACTCTCGCTTCACGCTAAAATATCCGCATATTTCATCGAAAATTCGGCTATAATAATGGAGGACTTTGATGATATGGATGAGGCAGTGGTGCTTTCGCCAATTGGGCGTAAAAAGAGGAACAATTCACGCAATTCTGTGCGCTCCATTGCAAAAAAATCGCGTCATAGTGGTGATGGAAAAATCGCTAGCATTTCGTGTGCACATAATGTACGTAACGTGTGCATGGCAACTTCCCTCTCCAATGAAGATCTAACCTATGCACATAATCAGCTTTACTCGACTGTAGACAAAGTTAAACAGGATGCCACCCTGCTTTCTCACATGGATATCAATAAATGTGTGCGGAGGCGACTCAAGGTAGATGATGTTGACAGGAGGAATGCCAGGGAAGTTTCAGTAAAGTACTTCACTTTGACTGTAAACAAGGAGAAAGTGCCACTGTGCAAGGCCTCATTCATGAGCATTTTCGGTAAGTATGTTATAAATCAGTACCCAGTATAGTACCCTTGGTCACAAATCTCATAAATATTTTTAAAAAAAAATTAAAATAGAAATGGCCCCAGTCAGTGTCGTAGGCTGTATTAAGGTCATTTTGATTGGGGGGGGGGGGGGATTTTTTTTTTGAAAAGGGCACTTGCACATCCGTGCTGAAATGTTGACACGTTTTTTTTCTCCGGACACTTGGCCTGCATAAAATTGGTGGGGGGGGTACCATTTGTCGATGGGGGCGCTGTTTAAAACTATTTCACTGTTCTATATTGACTTGGCGAGTTGCTCAGAATGTATGTCATGAACTTAAAATAAGTTAAAAAAAAAATCTGCTGGAGCCTTCTCCCCCGCTGAAGCTCGCACGTTTGTGTGAGCCCCCCCCCCCCCCTAAAATTCATTGGTTATCCCCATGGTGGGTAGTAGACTGCAAATGGAATGATAGCACACATCTTAGTGTTTTTTTTATTATATGCCCCAATCTTGTCATTTTTTTTTCTTATTAGCCCTTTTATTCTATTGTTTCAGGTGTCAAGAAAGATCGGTTGTCGAACATTGCCAAATATTGGTTCGATAATGGAATTTCGAGGCCAGAAAATCGTGGAGGTGCCCGAAATGTGGAGAGGAACCTTGCCAGGAAGCGTGCAATTCAAGACCACATCACAACGTTCACCTGTCGTGCTAGTCATTATGCTCGCCGTGGTACACCTGGCCGGAAATACTTGCCAACTGACCTGAGTGTCAAGAGGATGCACCAGCTGTTCAAGGATCAGAATCACGAACAGGTATCATACGCACTATACTACAGTGTTTTTGTGTATGATTTCAACTTGGCCTTTGGTCATCCCGCTGTGGACATCTGCAGTGAATGCTTGAAGTTCAAGCTGCAACTGAAGGATCAATCCATCACGGATGAAAAGAAACGGGATTGTACGGCCATGTACATTCTTCACAGGCGTCGCGCGAGAAGATTCTATGACAGTTTAAACAATGTTGAGGATTCATTCACCGTTTGTTTTGACATCATGGAGAATCTAGTACTGCCAAAGTCCCCAATCGGACAAACCTTCTATTCGCGGCAGCTCTATCTCTATGTTTTTGGTGTCGTTCATCACTGCGGCCGAGGAAATCCACAGGGAAAAGATGACATTCATCTGTACGTCTGGCTAGAAAGCCAGAACCGCAAGGACAGCAACATGGTGGCTTCAGCCTTAAACCACTTTTTCATTTCTGTTGTGGGGGATGAGTTGAAAAGGTATCAAAGGTTGCGCTTGTTTTCAGACTCCTGCTTTGGCCAAAACAAAAACATCAATGTTTTGGCGATGCTGGCTGCTATGCGAAAACAGAAGTTTCCGCAGCTGAGCATCGAATACACATTTCCTGTCCGCGGCCACAGTTTTCTGCCAGCGGATCGGGCATTCGGGAGGATCGAGCAGGACATCAGGAAACAGAATACGATTCTCCTTCCTGATGATTACGTTGCCATTCTAGCCAAACATGGTAACGTACACGTGTACGGTAAAGACTGGAAGTGTCGCGATTTCAAGGCAGCAGTAAAAGCCCATTGCAAGTCCAAGCGATCCTTCAAGATCAGTAACGCCAAGGTCCTACGCATTAATTCGGATCAAGTCGGCTTCAAGCAGGTGTATGGCGGTGACTTCTGTGAGCACGTTATTCTCAAGAAGGGCAAGAATTGGGGAGAGTTCAAGCCAGCCGACACTCTCATGGTCAACTGCGTGAAGCCTGCCAAGAAACGTGACGTCCTCAAACTTATTGATGAGATTGGTGCTCCTGACAATGTCTGCGACTTCTATAACAATGCCTTCGCTGATGTGGGTCAGCATGACATTGGCAAACAGGACCTTGAGGAGAGCAGTGATGAGGACTGAGCAGTCAATAACTCAGAATGATAGTTTGCTTGCTGAGACTCAAATGTAATCAAACAACCATTTTAAATTTGATGGTCATTGGGTTTTTTGTGATGGCCATGTGATTTTTTTCATCACTGCACTCGAAAGCACTGAGAACACAGTGTTAATTATCGGAATTTAAGGATTTTAATAATATTCGCCAGGAAGGCAAATCCTTATTAATTTGATGTTCATTAGGTTTAAAGCAAATTGTTTCTCTGGTAGCAAGCAAACTATCATTTTGTATACTGCTTGAAACAAACTTTGCTGATCCAGTGAAATGTAATCAAACCGATCCATTCGATTCAGTGCTGGGATTGTGAACAAAATAATGAATCTTTTCCACTGTCTTTATAAAGTTTGAAATGCGGTATAGAATATTCTAATAATAATAATAATCGATGCTTATATAGCGCTTTATCACCAACAGTATCAAAGCGCTTCATATTATTACCTGGTCATTGGACCCACGAAACATTCCAAACACTATCTCAGCTCCCTGGGGAGTATACAGCTCACGTTTGTTTATGGTGTAAAATAATCGAGGATTTTCTTTTGTTCCTCTTCCCTTTTCCTTTGTTTGTACATCAACTTTTTCGCAACAGCTCTAATTGGTTTTGTACACGTTTTTCAACTCGATTTGGTTTTTGACCTCGATTCACTGATGATGCACGTGTGTGTCCTCGATTTACAGTCGAGTCTCGTTATTACAAACTCGTTCGGACCTAGCCAAATTGTTTGTTATATCAGAAGTTTGTCTTAAGAGGAACATCAGTCCCATTCATTGTGCACATAAATGCACAGTCGGGACCAAGGCCTTATGTTTGTTATAACCAGAATTTTGTATTAACAGAGTTTGTACTAACAAGAGTCGACTGTACATCATAAACATGCGCACACTCTGGCACAGCAAAGTACAGCACAACAATGTTGATGACATTAGGCCAAACATGTTCTTGTTTGAATGGATTGCAACAGAGTCCACACCCGCAAATCATGAAGTCGGTGATTCCCATCCATTCCTCCTGGTCTGAAAAATAACCGAAATCTGAACAAAAACCACTAGTCAATACCTGGATTGTTTTATAATATGAAATTTATTTGTTTTAGTGCCCAGCAAAGTCCTGGCATGATTAGCGGTTTTGTTCAATGTATGATTGACAATCATCCTTTTTTCCGAAGCGAATCCGAAAAAGAGAAGGGTGGAATCTCGATGTAGGCTGGTTGAGAATCTTGGCCAAGACAATCCAGTCGTATGCATGATTGTTGGTCCAACTTTGTAGATTGATTAATACTCATTTATCTTGAATCTTTAACAACAGTCACAATACTTGCCATTTTTAACATGTTTATGTACTTTAAAACAAATTTTGGATTTGTCTGGTTTTGAAAAAAAACCTGCTAAGTGGATTTGTCTGTTTTTGCCACCAAACAGAATAAAAAAAACATGTTTTCAATGTTTTTGAATAAATTTAGATTTTTGAAATTTTGTCCTATATTTACTTGACTTGGATGGATTCAGAACTACCCTATATGGAATTGATAGGTTTAACCTGGAGAGCAAAGCAAAAAAAACATCTTTTAAAGACAATGACCAATTTGGATTTGTCTGTTTTTGCATCTGAACTCTTCACATGTACTTTGCACACAGTGCAAAAGTTGCATAGACATTGCAGGAAAAATATTCTGATACCATAACATAGCCATTTGATTTAAGGCGCAGACTGAGCCTTGTGGAAAGATTCCCATAATTTGGCCATCACAGTCACTAATTTTTCCCCTGCCTCAGTGACCTATCACTTTTTTTTATCAGCCATCAGAAAGTGAAAATAGGCTAGTAAAAAAGTGAAATTTAGCAGGGAAAATATTGAAGTATTTACTGCGAAAACACTTAGGCCTACTTAGAATTTTTCAGACCAGTCTCGATCATAGGGTTTGTGCACAGGGTGACAAGTGATGGCCAGATATGGGAATCTTTCCAGCCTCATTTTATATCAATCAGCCTGTGCCTACCTCATCAGGAATTCACATGTAACATGTCAATTCCTTCACATGTAACATGTGAATTCCTTCACATGTAACATGTGAATTCCTGATGAGCTTGTTAAGCTGGAGTTACTCAAGCTACATGTGCCCTATTTACAATGGGTTGGGTCAGTGTATTTTTTTAATTTACAGACATTACAAACATTGACAAAAGCACATGCCATTGCGGTAGCTTGAGTACATTTTTAGCTATGAATATGAGCATGTCAGCTGGAGTTACTCAAGCTACCAATTCGGCATGATTGCCAAATAAGATTTTGTATAATTTGTGCATGAATGCCAATGCAATGCATTGGCAATGATAAACATGATATTGTCAATGTTGATAAGAATTTTTTTCTGTTGATATTTTGGGAAGGAAAAGTAATTAGAATGCAAAGAAAAATTGTTGCAACCTGATGCCACTTCCGCAATTGTGCACAGCTACATGTACAAAGTGTATGGAGAGTCAAGTACATTTTCTAAGTAGGCCTATTTCCTAACAAAATTGGCAAAGTTTCTCAGTCCCAGATTCATGTCTTATCATTTTTGCAATGACTGTCCTTTGTATCTGTAGCATACTGCAAGGAAACTCCACTATGGGATATACGGTTGCAGGCACGTATTTTTTTTCATTTGAGAAACATCCTGCTGATATACGATGTAGGACTGAAACCTCACACCCTGAAACCCATATTAAATTAATGCCTATACTACAAGCTTCATATTTTGCATTATGTACATGGGATATTATAACTATGTACAGCATTCACATTCATAGTGTGCGAGGAGTTCAAATGCAATAGTTTGTTTTGTTTGATACAGTGTGCGGTGTCTGTCATTCAAAGCTCAGAATGAACCAATCAAGCAATACGCCAAAGATTCACCAGAGAGAAAGCTAACAGAAGAGGTAAGGCCTCCATCTACAAACCTACACAAGTCATTGCTTCTTTATCTTTCAATGGGATTTTCTCACTTTTTCCAATCATCCTTATCATTTCAGAATGAAATGTTTGATGTTAAACTAAAGGTAAATTTCATTGACTCCAATCTGTAGCTTAATTAAAGGGAATGTACATTATTGGCTTTTGCTGTAATTTTCAGAAATGGACTATTTTGAGGGATTAGTATAACAGATCAAATATTGTTACACTGACATGTTTGAAGTTTTGTGTAAGAAAAAACTGGAAAAACCAAGAAAAACAAAAATGTTCAAGTAGTCTGGTTCCCTGACTTCACTAAAGATGAAATGGACTAATTTATAGATGCCGGAAAATTGTAAGGTAATGGAACCAGTCTAACTGGCCTGCACCCGTTCATGAACATGTAACCAATAGCAAACACAGTTTGGACTGTTGGTAAATTTGGAGCAGTAGTTGAAAAATAGTTAGGTTTTTGCCACGGTGGTCGGCTGACCACCGTTGGAAATTTATACAAAATACCACTTATCTTGAAAATGACTTCACACATGGTGCCATATTTTTACAGGATGATTTAGATTGTAATTTACCAACATCCTAGTAAGGTATGTCGTAAAAAATTGGTAGGTTTGTTTTTCGATGTTTGCAAATGTTGTATATTCCCTTTAAGTAATTGCATCATTCATTGTACAAGTGTCATGCTACCTTTGTTCCAGAGAATGCAGACCAAAACTGAATGATTGCCCCTGAAACTTGCCCTGCATTCTGGACGGTATTAAAACATATGGGGTAGTGGTTTTGGTTCATGATATACAATGTACACACTGGTCTTTAATGGTTTGTTTTGAACACCTGGATTTCAAAAGCACAATAAACAACATCTGTACAAACTAAATGAGTATTGAAAATGGGGATTGGTTTTGAATGTGCCCTAGGAGATAGCAATTTGCTACAGTGCCATGTGCATCATGCACATGGCATTTGTATGAATCAAAGCACGAGCATTTCCTGCCGTTCATATCCACGATATCCTGGCAAATTCCTTTCACGTTACTATAGGGGAAGTTTGTTCCAGTTTCATGTTCTGTATGCTGTGCACACATGTTTTTGCATCAGAATTACATGCCAAACTGATAGACATGATGCAGATGCTGTACACTTTAATTTTTTTTTCAGCTCAGGAATAACTAATACATTTGCATAATTCTTTGAATTGTTCTGGTTAACTTCTTGTAGGCACTGAATAGGCTGGGCAGTACAGTTCTTGATGTGCCTTGTGTTATTGGTGGGGAACATATCTTCACCGATGATGTCCGGACTGAAGTTGCTGTAAGTAAAGGTTTCTGAAATGATAGCAGTTTCTTTTGGATCCTCCGTAGTATCAATTGTGTTGGGGAAGAGTTTCCTTAATTTGTTTGCTGTCACAAAATATCACCGCTAACATAAATAAATGGGTCCACTTATTAAAATTATGGCTTAAAAGTTTCACCCTGGCGGTAAAAATTCCATGCTCTGTAACGTATGTGCAATATAAAAGAACTGACCATACTTCAAACTATGATTTAATCATATGAAGTTGAACAATTATTATTTTATTATCCTTTAAATGATGTGTTGTTTATGATAAATTTCACTTTATCAATACATAATTATTTAGTTTGTAGGCCTACAGATGAGCTACATTGTACATGCTGTACATGCGGTCAAATAAGTCAATACAAAGTGTGCACATTGACGTATGTTACTAACACTTATAGGTACATGTATGGTTTCCTCTAGTGCAGGGTGTTGTTACATTAAAATTGTAGATAAATTAAACATTTATTCGTTGAGGATGTAGTACAAATAAACTCACAAATTCAGTTAATGGATTGCATAAAAATATGACCCAGCTTGTTTTAAATACAATCGATAATTCTGTGCTACGTGTATCTTGTACAAAGAAGATCTAGTTTGCTTTTTTGGACTTCCAATATTGTTGAATTTTGGGCTATAATGCATTGCATTTTGATGCATTTATAGATGGAAGCATGCAAATTGTTTGCTCTATATACGCGGTGTAGCCATATGTTTACATTTTTGTTCTGTGACCCAAACACCTGTTTCTGTTGATAATTAACTAGCATTTTCAAATTATCCGACAAGAAACTATCTGTATAGTTGTGTAGTTGTGAGCCAAATTTTTCACTATCAATAATCGGGCACACAGAGACCAGGATGCATTGGCAAATGTACCTTAATTAATAGAACACAGGGTGTGAGCAGCGTTACACAAAAGCCCTGTAAACAAAATAAAAAAAACAAAAATTACAACGAAAATCGTAAAAAAAATAAAAAAATGTAATCACTTAAAAATTACATTTTAACAACTACTCATTTACTGATCAATCAGTTTTAAAGTACTACATGAATGCAAAACGTGACTTCAGTAAACCGGATACATGATCTCAGAGAAAAAGGGGAGAACGTTGAGTCAATTTTTACTGGCCAAATATTCTGATACTGTATCAACGTCACAAAAACACCAGCTAAAACAGTTCAAGTATTTCACTGAGACATGTACATGTATCCTCTACCACGGGCCAAAGGTTCTGGCATACTCTTTTCCATCAATATTCCAGCCAAAATGGTAGTAGCTACATGTGCATGTGTACTGTATATTATTGACTGTTCTTTTGTGTTTTCCCATTTCCAGCCGTTTGACCACAGCCATAAATTGGCCTCAGTGCATTATGGAAACAAGGTAATGTCAATGCTCAGGTTTGTTTGGTGAAGTGTGCTTACTCACCACAGTGACCTCAAGGTCATAACAGTGACCTTACGTCACCTATGAGTACAAATTGTTACATTTGCTCAACTATTCTATGGTCAAGTATTCTGTTCTTTTAACATCTGTTTTGTATGCAGCAGAGTTTCTAGTTGTTACAAACTGGCTTCACCTAAACTCTTTATTTACTGTGTTTTCAAATACTGGACCTCAGTGATGTTACATGTTGTTTTGATGTTGAATCAGGAACCGATCAATTAATATATAATTTCTTCCTTTTTTCTTAAACTGAGAAGTGGATCAACTGATATTTGATAAGCCTTTTTTTTTAATTGTTGACATCGAGGTTGATCAGCCAATAACTGTTTTCCTCATTTGTTGAGGAGTTGATTAGCTGACAGACATTTTGTTGATTTGTTGACCTAGGAGTTGATCAACAAAGCCATCAATGCAGCATTATCTGTCAGGTCCGACTGGGAAGCAAAGCCTCTTGAGGACAGAGTTCAGATCTTCCTGAAGGCTGCTGATCTGATCTCCAATAAATACCGAGCGGATCTTGTGGCTGCTGTCATGCTGGGACAGGTTGGAAGTCACAAATTTAACAAGTTCATTTTAACTTTATTCCATCATTATTTGTTAACAAATATCTTAATTAAGACAAGTTTCTTGGTACAAGGGTTCTTAAATAACAGTATTGACAACCAATTTTCATACCCAAATTCCAATTTGTCTTTACGTTCAGTTTACTTCTGAAAAAAAAAAAATGCATGAATACAATGTTTCAAGCACAGTATGCAGGGTACTTTGGAAGCATTTGTAAGACTAAACTTTCAGAAAGACTGGTTCCCACTTGTTGCAATAGCAAATACCAATGTGAATTTGTGACTTACTGGCAACAAGTTGCACTAAGAACACATTTCAACTCAGTGAATTGTTTTCTGCAAGTGTTTTGTGATGTCAAATATGCTTCACATTTGCACTTGCATGAAGTATGAAGCAGTCTGGTTATCCTCCTTGATTTGTAGGCCAAGACAGCTTTCCAAGCTGAGTTGGATGTCGTCTGTGAGCTGGCTGATTTCTATCGCTTCCATGGCCAGTACGCTCTAGATCTGGCCAACGTTCAACCTATCAGTACAGATGAGAGTAGTAACACAATGCTGTATCGTGGTCTGGAGGGATTCGTGGCTGCAATCTCACCATTCAACTTTACAGCTATCGGAGGGAACTTGGCTGGCACTCCAGCTATGATGGTGAGAAGTTGACCTAGTCCACTAAAAAGTCTCCAACTTATTGGATGTCTGGACTATGTCTAGTCCATTTTAAATGTTTTATTCCAAAGGAGTTGAAAAGCTAGATTAACTACATACGGTGTATTTTTGAAAAGACAACCCAAATATAATTGTCCCAAGGTCACTAAATTATTTGATAAAAGTCCATAAAATGTGACTGAGATAAAAATTCATTTTGTAGATGGAAGTTTTGCTGACATTTAGATACCAATTCCATAAAAATCAGAAGTGGCAATGGCACAAAGATGTCCAAGTTTGGAAAAGAGGCCACAGAAATATCTTTTGTGCATGTGTAAAGAAATATCGAACTACATGAAAACCCTCTTATTCATGGATGCAAGCATTGAATATTGGTGATTGCAATTACAAAATGCTCTTTCAGAGGTCAGTATATATCTGAATTATCCAAGACAGTGATGGTCTTTGCTGTTATTATTATTATTATTTATCAATCATTTCTGGTAGTGAAACCAAGGATTCCTCAAAAGCACCCTAGGCACTGTGACTGGCCAGCCTGAAGAAACCTGTAGAGAGAAGACAACGAAAAGAAATTACAGTTTTAGAGGTGGGAGGAAAACCCGGAAGGATATTCTGGGTGAAACCTATGGAATCAGGCAGGGACTGAAAACCCAATCCATATATTGGCCCAGGCGGGATTCGAACCCATGTCACGGCGGTGGAAGGCCAGGAAAGTACCGCTACGCTAACCAGACTCACCTGTATACAATGATGTTGAAGAAGTCGCTGATTGATTTGTTTGTCATCTGCAGGGTAATACAGTGGTTTGGAAGCCCAGTCCTGCCTGTTGTTTTTCCAGCTACAAAGTCTTTGAGATCCTGAGAGAAGCCGGGGTACCAGACGGAGTGATTAACTTCATCCCTGCTCCAGCGACAGTGTTTGGTGACACCGTTACTGCATCACATGACCTGGCAGCTGTAGCCTTCGTCGGCAGTACAAAGTAACATTTGAAACCAAACACTCGTATCAATGTTACAAGTTTCTTATGTTGAGCAGTCTTACCAGGCATATTGAAAGGTGCTGCCCCCTCCCCTCAGCACTTGCTGGAAATATTTAGAAAAAAAATTGCACCACTCTGGAAAAACTGTATGTCTCGTGGAAAATAAACATGTTAACTTTGCCCAACCCTTTATTTTTGTTCACCTTTTTAAATTTGTCCTAAACCTGAATGTATATCTTGGTGAGACCACTGCCCCTGTTGCAGCTGTATGGAAGTTTTTAACTTGATGAAGTCTCATAATTTACATAAAAGTTTAAAACAAGCAAATAAGAAGGGTTACTACTACACTTTTATCTGCTGAACATGTGCTTTACCTTTTGCCTATGGTGAGCATGATTATCAATTATTAAAAAGGCCAATTATTTGTTAGGTAGAAGAGCGAAATACATTGTTGATAAGGTCATGATTCTTGTCATTCTATTACTAGGACTTTCCAGCGTTTGTGGAAGCAAGTTGGTCAGAACCTTGACAACTACAAAACCTTTCCAAGACTCATCGGAGGTGAGAGATGATAACATCTTATAAATCTTCTCATATAACATCAAGGCTTACCATGCCATGTACAAATCATTTGTTTATCCCTTTCGTCAGGGTTGATCTGGGGAGTCCAACAAAATCCCATAAATGAAAAAAGCAAAGCCTGCTAAAATATTCAAAAAAAAAAAAAATTGATTTCCCTCTGCAGTAAACAAAGTCAAATATAATTCCCCGCTGTTGGATATCTCCGATATCCCAATGCTTAATCTGTAAATGTATTTCCTCTTCCATTGACCTGTTGAGTTGAGAAATGCTTTCATTTTATTCCACAGAATGTGGCGGGAAGAACTACCATTTAATCCACCCCTCAGCGGACATTGACACCGTCGTCAACTGCACCGTCCGTTCTGCCTTTGAGTTTAGCGGTCAGAAATGTTCAGCATGTTCCAGGATGTATGTTCCTGAGACTCTCTGGCCAAAGATCAAAGAAGGAATGATGGAGATTCATAAACAGATTAAAGTTGGTGCTGTAAGTATCAACAATTGAGCTCTTTTCTCAATATCCCGTGAACATTGACAGGCATATAGGATCATTTGCTTTTCGTGCATTTTGTTTGTTTCCAATACTCAAAATCCAAAGAAGAATATTCAAAACCTAAGCTGTGGAAGTATCAGCTCAGTGGATGTTACAATTTTCAAGAAAACAGTGAAACACCATGCACAACCTTTTGATCATGAAACATGACTTCGTCCATAGCACTCTTTATTTCCAGAAATCAGTCAATTGACTGATTGTTGAAATCACCTACATTTCTTGATTTCTTCTAAATGACAGCAAGCCACATGGAATAATTTAGTATCAGTACAATCTTAAATCCAAGTAAGCTTTTTGATCATAATTTGGTAGGTTGCTTTTGGGATAAATGCTAATGGTCCTATATGCATTTAAACACTTTCTTAAAACTTCTTTTAAAAACTCCAAAGATGGACTTGTTCCAGGATTGGTTGGATAGATCACAGTTTTTGATTTCTTCACTTTATTTATATTTTCAGCCTGATGACTACTCCACGTTCTTCTCTGCGGTCATTGATGCTGCGGTAAGGAACGCTTACAATGTTTCTAAGGATATTTAGACGTTATAGCCAGTTATGAATTTCACTTTTTGGAACTACAATTATATTTTACGGGACAATTATAGAAGGAATTTCATCTCTTAAAAATGCCTTCTCCCAAAAAGTAACATTTACAAGTATATCTTTGGAATATTCGAAAATTCAACTCCCAAAATGCCTATGCACGTGGCAATCTTTAGGCAGTGATGTCATTTGAGAGAGATTCATTATATGAAACAGTCCACTAATGAGACAAAACTTATGATATCTGTGTGATTCTTTTTATTTCCTGTAGTCATTCGATAAGATCAAGGGATATCTAGACTACGCCAAGACGTCGCCCAGTATCACAACCTTGGCTGGTGGAAACTGCGACAAAAGGTAGATATCTTAGTCTTGCTCAAATTGTTTCAATAACATTGCATTCTGCTCACCTTGTGTTGTATTTTTGTGACTTAACATTTTTTAGTACAGCGAGCTGATATATGTGTTGAAAATGGCACCCCTATGAAAGACAGTGAGCCGATTTATTAGCTCAAATGTCATACTGCAGAGTTTTATTCCATCTAAATGATACAATTAAGGCAATTAATCCTGTGCTAAGTTCTGTGATCCACTGGTTGGGTGGGTACCATAAAATGTAAAAAAGTAAACTGTTTCTCCCGAATATTTATCCAGAGAAAAATAAGGAAATTTAAGCTGTTCGCAAGGTGGTTCATTTGCAGGCCATAGATTTCCTTTTAATGTTCCTTAAACCAATACAACTTGCCAATTTTGGCATACCATCTAATATTTTTAAATGCACAACGTGCCCGCTACTACCACCACCGTGCTGTCTAATTGTGGCAGCCAGATTAGTCTATAAAACTAGCGGAATTGTTTTGTTTTGTTCTACAGCAAAGGCTACTTCATAGAGCCCACTATCTACGAAACCAACGATCCTAGCGAGAAGTTAATGAGAGAAGAAATCTTTGGTCCGGTCGTCACGGTCTATGTCTACCCTGATGACATGTTTAGTGAGACGGTGGAAATGATCAATAAGACCTCCCCGTACGGATTGACAGGTGCTATCTTTGCCAGAGACAGGTAATGAAATGTCGAGATATTTTTAATTTCAGGTTTCACCCTTCACTATTGTAATATAAGCTCTGTCCATTCAGTGCTGTATGGGAACCTGCAAGAAAACCATTTACAAGCTGACTTGGGATGGACTTGAACCCAGGACCTCCTGATTACTAGTGCAGATGTCTTAGCCACCTGACCAGTGAGCTTGTTAGGGTTAGCTGGTTGACTGAGTATACAGTATATATACAACACAGTGATAAAGGGCTAAACCCAATGTTATTAGTTATCCCACGAGGGCAAGTGGGATACGGGATAATGTGCTGCGTCTGTGTGATTGTGTCTGGCCTTGTAGTACATGGGACGCAGATGTACTACATTTTCTGTGTTCCATGAGTGCAAGTGGAATAACGAATTGTCATCAAGCAAACTAGATGCTCAGTAAAGATGGAACAGACAAGCTGTGCGGGAACTTTACAATGGTTATCCAATAAATGTGTGTGCAGTATGAATAACGTGTGATATGCAGAGTGCGATATGGAACTTTGTAATATGTACAAATGTATAATATCACACTGTTGTTGCCATGGATTGACCAATCAGGATCGAGGATTCAATTTTGCTTGAAGGTAACAAAGATATATCTCCCTGATGCAAAAGTACCTGTTGCAAATTGCTTCAATCAACCTATTTGTTTTCCATTCCTTATCCATTATCAGTGACAATTTGAATGTATGACTGTTACACTGTCCAAATTACATTTCATGAACATATTTTTTGCTACAGCGAAGTGGCGGAAGAAACGGCCAATCTGCTCCGAGACTCTGCTGGTAATTTCTACATCAATGACAAGTCTACTGGATCCGTGGTGGGACAACAGCCGTTTGGTGGAGGAAGATTGTCAGGTAAAACAGCTCCTTCTTTATTAGATTCATCTCTTGTGCTTCGTTGATAAGCATTTTGCTGTAATACTGCATAAGTTTGGCTTAAAGAGATAGTTTAGGGAATAAAATAAATTAGATAAATTGTGTAATCACAGAATAGTGAAGATACGGTGCAGTCTAATTGTTTGAATATTTGAAAAAAAGTAAAACTGCTGCAAACTGCTTACTGACTGGATGGACCTGAAATATATAAATCTTAAAATTAATGTGGCCTGACGTTGCGAACTTAGCAAGTTCTTCTTCAGAGGCTAAAACAGAAATGATGGAGGTACATACATTAACATGGGGGTGCACACAAACATGCAGGGCTGAAAGAAGAAACACAAAAGGAGGATTAGGTGTGAAAGGTGTGGAATATTTATCATTTCCATTTGTTACTTGTCGTTATTTTTCTTTTAAAAATAACCAGACCACCGTTATTTGGTAAAACAAACAGTTCTCACCCAGAGACACATTTAAATTAACATTGATCAACGTTAACCACAATTGACCAGATTTACTACCCGAGTCTTGCTGTACATTTTGTGAGATATGTCTCTTGTCTCCCTCTGCCAGGAACCAATGACAAGGCTGGCGGTTCTCTCTACATCCAACGCTGGGTATCACCGCAATCAGTCAAACAAACACACCAACCAATCACCGACTGGAGGTATCCTAGCATGGAGGTCTAAACATTGTCATAGCAACCCAACATGATTATCACCATGGTTACGGTAGGAACAAAGAAAACGTCTAATCATCTTTAGATTCATCATTTGGGTGATTGTTTAGACTCTTTCTGGTGCAAAAATTACTCAAATGGACGATTATATTTTATTTTATTTTAAAAGAAAATGTGTGCCTTTTTACTTGAGGGGAGTGAACAAAATCAGAACAAAATTTGACAAAATATTCATTGTTTTACCCCAATCTATGTGTAGATATTTGACTTTTAGTATTATTATTATTATTTTTGGGGGGGTCAATTTGGAATCTATTTTTCTTAGTTGTAGAAATTTCATGGATGAAACATCGGAATATAAACAAAGGGTGATGACACTTGAATAGAAAAAAAAATTCTTTTGTTTCTTCATGCTTTCTGTTCGGTGAAATTGAGCCAAATTCATAACTTTTTCATTTTGACCACTCCAAAAGTGCTTTTGGAATATCTAACGTTTTACAGCCATCACCTAAAACAAATCAGAATTAAACAATATCCCAGTCTAGCTCAATTGAAGAAACGCGGACAAATTCATAACACAGTGAATTGTGTCAAGATCACTTCATATAATCGGACAAAATAAAATATACATAAAATGGAGCGAAACTAATTTTGATCATGACGATTACGACTTAAATGTCATGGCATGCGAAGCTTTTTATCCACCATGATTTGATATTTTGTTGTGATTATTAACAATATAGCCGTGTCCGAATTATTTGGCTACTGCTTAAAGGAACACACGACTCTATGGTGTAAATTCAAGTCGTAGCCAAATAATTCGGACACGGCTTACATATTTCAATGAGATGCACAGTGTGCATTATGTAGCCGTGTACATACTAACAAACCTGTATAAGAGTTAGAAATAAGAGCTTCCTATAATCATAGTATTCATGATTGCATGAAGCATGGATCCTCTACACAAGGATAAACGACTCATCTCAGCTTGTGTATAAAATGTACGGTCTAAATGTGTGATATGCCGTATCCGCCCATGGAACAAAGCATAGAACATGTAGAACAATGCGCGTGCGCCATGATTGCCGACAGCTGGCGTCCTGACAGAAATTTGACCACTGAAAGACTGCAGTCACGCGCTGAATCTCACGCATGCTTAAAGCGCAAGTGCCATATCACGCCTCTAACCAGAAATTTGGGGAAGTCGTTAATCCTTGTGTAGAGGATCCGTGCATGAAGTAATGTACAGGTATATCCTATGCTGCCCGCAATTTTTCCATAATCTTTATTTTTATGCCCCGCGGCGAAGCCGAAGGGGCATACTGTTTCCGCCTTGTCCTTCCGTGGGTGGGTGTGTGGGTGGGTGTGTGGGTGGGTGTGTATGGGTGAGTTTGTCTTACATACGCAGTGTGGACTTCCGAACAAAAGAAGTCCACATAATGTAGGTAGCACCGACGTTGTGTGGACTTACCCCACGTCCACACAGTGTTTCCCCATTTCTGGAAAACAGGTTTAGAGGCATTTTTGGGTTAGGTTTATCTGTAGCAGAATGAAGAGAAACACTAAAGGGAATCATAGAAAAAAAATTGGGTTGAAAGAGTTTTCACAGTTTGAGAAAAATGAGTTTTTTCACTGGTTTTTCTTAACTACACGAAAGCAATGGAAAGTCCACACTAGTCATGTGAAACAAGTATGGGTGGGTGTGTGTGTGTGTCCGGACAAATCTTGTCAGCGCGATAACTTGAGAAATACTTAACATATGAACTTCAAATTTGGTTTGTGGATTGTTCTTGGTAATCCTAAGAGGCCTTTTGCATTTGGGGCCAAAAGGCCTAAGGTCAAGTTCACAGTGGCTAAAACAATAGAAATCTTGTCAGCGCGATAACTTGAGAAATACTTTACATGTGAACTTCAAATTTGGTTTGTGGATTGTTCTTGGCAATCCTAAGAAGCCTATTGCATTTGGGGCCAAAAGGTCAAGGGTCAAGTTCACAGTGGCTAAAACAATAGAAATCTTGTCAGCGCGATAACTTGAGAAATACTTAACATATGAACTTCAAATTTGGTTTGTGGATTGTTCTTGGTAATCCTAAGAAGCCTATTGAATTTGGGGCCAAAAGGTCGAGGGTCAAGTTCACAGTGGCTAAAACAATAGAAATCATGTATTTATTCTGAGATTATAGGGATTAGGGATTAATTCATATAAAACCTACAGAAGACACTAATGCTGTCAATGAATGTTCCATGTGACCAAGGTACATGTAAGTTGATGTTAAAAGAGTGGTGTTATGTCATGGGAACTGTCACCGTTGCGGGGCATTTGTGTTTGTAAACACACCTGACTTGTTTTATTCAGAATTAATGTTGAATTAAACAAAAGTGCTAAGTTAATTGCTCTTTAAATTGATGAGTTACATGTACAGCAATGGATTTGATTTCATGTCACAAGAGGGCTCTATCAAGTCAGATGGGATTTACTCTCTAAAACTGAGTTACTTTGAAAGGAAAAAAAACCCTTTAGTTTACTACATTGTACATGTATATCAGTACCCTCTAAAGGCATATAGACACATTTGCATTAATCCCCAAAGTAGCTACCAAATTTATTATCAAAAACTTACTAGGATTAAAGATTGTACACACCCAGGGAAATTATTCTGTCTGGCTTGCTGTCATTTAGAAGAAATCAAGAAAAAAATAGGTGATTTCCAATGATCTGTCAATTGACCGAGTTTTGGAAGAAAGAGTTCTATTGACAATGTCTTTTTTGTGTGTAAACAAAAGGTCGTGCATAGTTTTTCAGTTTTCTAGTGGTAAATAGCCGAGTTGAAACATCAACAGGTTTGGTTTCAAACATTCTTTAGATTCTGAGCAGGTTTTTTTTTTGGGAAACGAACAAATTGCATGAAAAACAAATGATCCTACACACCTTGAAGACAAGGTGTAAACATCAAACCTTGCTTTCCCATTCCTGAGTGTCATGAATTTATGCTGTTTATTACTTAATCAAAAAGGCTTGATTTTAGTTAATGCATGATGCAGCTGCATTTTTTTTTAGATCTAAAAAGGAAAGTTTAGGTAACATGTATCAAGATTTTTGGTTGTATAAACCTACAGTCATGTTAAGTTTGTATGAAATGGATGTCAACACTCCGATGTGCATAATTCTCTGATATGAATGGATGCTGAAAAATAGTTTTTGCTGAAAAAGTGCAGACAGATGGAAGGGAAAATAAGCAATAATTTGAATGGAAAACCCCCCAAATTGTCAAGGAACAGAAGGGATTTACGTCTTAGATGTTTTCGTTACAATTGTTAGATTCACATAGATCCTGTATATTTTGATAAACCCATCTCCACTCTACTGTCAATACTGTGTCCGGTCTGTTCATTTTGATGGTTTGCATATTCAAATTGTCTGTTTTTGATATTGAGATGAGGACAGGGGACACCATTTGGTCAAAAATTGACTTTTCTCCAAACAATGCATATATTCCTTTGAAAAGTCCATCTGCCCACAAATCACATTGGAATGTGTTCTAGTGTCCCTTAGGCATCTTTCCTGCAAGTTTGAAGCAGTTTCATTTTTTGGCCTTTTTTAATGAAATTGTTTCATAAATTGACTTTTTTCCAAACAATGCGGAAATTCCTTTGAAAAGTTCATCCGTCCACAAATCACATTGTAAGTGTTCTAGGGTCCCTAAGGCATCTTTCCTGCAAGTTTGAAGCAATTTCATTTTTTTGCCAAAATTGAAAAAATGCAAGGGGTTAGCCTTACTTTTTTGATGAAATTTACTCAAAAATTTACTTTTCTCCAAACAATGCAGAAATTCCTTTGCAAAGTCCATCCGTCCACAAATCACATTGGAATGTGTTCTAGGGTCCCTTGGGCATCTTGTTTGCAATTTTGAAGCAATTTCATTTTTTTGGTCAAAACTGGAAAAAGAGCAAGGGGTTAGCCTTACTTTTTTAATGAAATTTGGTCAAAAATTGACTTTTTTCAAAACAATGCAGAAATTCCTTTGAAAGGTCCATCCGTCCACAAATCACATTGGAATGTGTTCTAGGGTCCCTTGGGAATCTTTTTTGCAATTTTGAAGCAATTTCATTTTTTTGGCCAAAACTGGAAAAAGAGCAAGGGGTTAGCCTTACTTTTTTAATGAAATTTGGTCACAAATTGACTTTTTTCAAAACAATGCAGAAATTCCTTTGCAAAGTCCATCCGTCCACAAATCTCATTGGTATGTGTTCTAGGGTCCCTTAGGTATCGTTCCTGCAAGTTTAAAACAATTTCATTTTTTTGGCCAAAATTGAAGAAAGTGCAAGGGGTTAGCCTTACTTCTTTGATGAAATTTGGTCAAAAATTGACTTTTTTCAAAACAATGCATAAATTCCCTTGAAAGGTCCATCCGTCCACAAATCACATTGGAATGTGTTCTAGGGTCCCTTAGACATCTTTTTTGCAATTTTGAAGCAATTTCATTTTTTGGCCAAAATTGAAAAAGAGCAAGGGGTTAGCCTTACTATTTTAATGAAATTTGGTCAAAAATTGACTTTTTTCAAAACAATGCAGAAATTCCTTTGAAAGGTCCATCCGTCCACAAATCACATTGGAATGTGTTCTAGGGTCCCTTGGGAATCTTTTTTGCAATTTTGAAGCAATTTCATTTTTTTGGCCAAAACTGGAAAAAGAGCAAGGGGTTAGCCTTACTTTTTTGATGAAATTTGGTCAAAAATTGACTTTTCTCCAAACAATGCAGAAATTCCTTTGCAAAGTCCATCCGTTCACAGATCTCATTGTTATGTGTTCTAGGGTCCCTTAGGTATCATTCCTGCAAGTTTGAAACAATTTCATTTTTTGGCCAAAATTGAAGAAAGTGCAAGGGGTTAGCCTTACTTTTTTGATGAAATTTGGTCAAAAATTGACTTTTTTCAAAACAATGCAGAAATTCCTTTGCAAAGTCCATCCGTCCACAAATCGCATTGTACTGTGTTCTAGGGTCCCTTGGGCATCATTCCTGCAAGTTTGAAATAATTTCATTTTTTGGCCAAAATTGAAAAAATGCAAGGGGTTAGCCTTACTTTTTTGATGAAATTTACTCAAAAATTAACTTTTCTCCAAACAATGCAGAAATTCCTTTGCAAAGTCCATCCGTCCGCAGATCTCATTGTTATGTGTTCTAGGGTCCCTTAGGTATCATTCCTGCAGGTTTGAAACAATTTCATTTTTTGGCCAAAATTGAAGAAAGTGCAAGGGGTTAGCCTTACTTTTTTGATGAAATTTGGTCAAAAATTGACTTTTTTCAAAACAATGCGTAAATTCCCTTGAAAGGTCCATCCGTCCACAAATCACATTGGAATGTGTTCTAGGGTCCCTTAGACATCTGTTTTGCAATTTTGAAGCAATTTCATTTTTTTGGCCAAAACTGGAAAAAAGAGCAAGGGGTTAGCCTTACTTTTTTGATGAAATTTGGTCAAAAATTGACTTTTTTCAAAACAATGCAGAAATTCCTTTGCAAAGTCCATCCGTCCACAAATCTCATTGGTATGTGTTCTAGGGTCCCTTAGGTATCGTTCCTGCAAGTTTAAAACAATTTCATTTTTTTGGCCAAAACTGCAAAAAGCGCAAGGGGTTAGCCTTACTTTTTTAATGAAATTTGGTCAAAAATTGACTTTTTTCAAAACAATGCAGAAATTCCTTTGCAAAGTCCATCCGTCCACAAATCGCATTGTACTGTGTTCTAGGGTCCCTTGGGCATCATTCCTGCAAGTTTGAAACAATTTCATTTTTTGGCCAAAATTGAAAAAATGCAAGGGGTAAGCCTTACTTTTTTGATGAAATTTACTCAAAAATTAACTTTTCTCCAAACAATGCAGAAATTCCTTTGCAAAGTCCATCCGTCCACAGATCTCATTGTACTGTGTTCTAGGGTCCCTTGGGCATCATTCCTGCAGGTTTGAAACAATTTCATTTTTTGGCCAAAATTGAAGAAAGTGCAAGGGGTTAGCCTTACTTTTTTGATGAAATTTGGTCAAAAATTGACTTTTCTCAAAACAATGCAGAAATTCCCTTGAAAGGTCCATCCGTCCACAAATCACATTGGAATGTGTTCTAGGGTCCCTTAGACATCTGTTTTGCAATTTTGAAGCAATTTCATTTTTTTGGCCAAAACTGGAAAAAAGAGCAAGGGGTTAGCCTTACTTTTTTGATGAAATTTGGTCAAAAATTGACTTTTTTCAAAACAATGCATAAATTCCCTTGAAAGGTCCATCCGTCCACAAATCACATTGGAATGTGTTCTAGGGTCCCTTAGGTATCGTTCCTGCAAGTTTAAAATAATTTCATTTTTTGGCCAAAACTGGAAAAAGAGCAAGGGGTTAGCCTTACTGTTTTGATGAAATTTGGTCAAAAATTGACTTTTTTCAAAAAAATGCAGAAATTCCTTTGAAAGGTCCATCCGTCCACAAATCACATTGGAATGTGTTCTAGGGTCCCTTGGGCATCTTGTTTGCAATTTTGAAGCAATTTCATTTTTTTGGTCAAAACTGGAAAAAGAGCAAGGGGTTAGCCTTACTTTTTTGATGAAATTTACTCAAAAATTAACTTTTCTCCAAACAATGCAGAAATTCCTTTGCAAAGTCCATCCGTCCGCAGATCTCATTGTTATGTGTTCTAGGGTCCCTTAGGTATCATTCCTGCAGGTTTGAAACAATTTCATTTTTTGGCCAAAATTGAAGAAAGTGCAAGGGGTTAGCCTTACTTTTTTGATGAAATTTGGTCAAAAATTGACTTTTTTCAAAACAATGCGTAAATTCCCTTGAAAGGTCCATCCGTCCACAAATCACATTGGAATGTGTTCTAGGGTCCCTTAGACATCTGTTTTGCAATTTTGAAGCAATTTCATTTTTTTGGCCAAAACTGGAAAAAAGAGCAAGGGGTTAGCCTTACTTTTTTGATGAAATTTGGTCAAAAATTGACTTTTTTCAAAACAATGCAGAAATTCCTTTGCAAAGTCCATCCGTCCACAAATCTCATTGGTATGTGTTCTAGGGTCCCTTAGGTATCGTTCCTGCAAGTTTAAAACAATTTCATTTTTTTGGCCAAAACTGCAAAAAGCGCAAGGGGTTAGCCTTACTTTTTTAATGAAATTTGGTCAAAAATTGACTTTTTTCAAAACAATGCAGAAATTCCTTTGCAAAGTCCATCCGTCCACAAATCGCATTGTACTGTGTTCTAGGGTCCCTTGGGCATCATTCCTGCAAGTTTGAAACAATTTCATTTTTTGGCCAAAATTGAAAAAATGCAAGGGGTAAGCCTTACTTTTTTGATGAAATTTACTCAAAAATTAACTTTTCTCCAAACAATGCAGAAATTCCTTTGCAAAGTCCATCCGTCCACAGATCTCATTGTACTGTGTTCTAGGGTCCCTTGGGCATCATTCCTGCAGGTTTGAAACAATTTCATTTTTTGGCCAAAATTGAAGAAAGTGCAAGGGGTTAGCCTTACTTTTTTGATGAAATTTGGTCAAAAATTGACTTTTCTCAAAACAATGCAGAAATTCCCTTGAAAGGTCCATCCGTCCACAAATCACATTGGAATGTGTTCTAGGGTCCCTTAGACATCTGTTTTGCAATTTTGAAGCAATTTCATTTTTTTGGCCAAAACTGGAAAAAAGAGCAAGGGGTTAGCCTTACTTTTTTGATGAAATTTGGTCAAAAATTGACTTTTTTCAAAACAATGCATAAATTCCCTTGAAAGGTCCATCCGTCCACAAATCACATTGGAATGTGTTCTAGGGTCCCTTAGGTATCGTTCCTGCAAGTTTAAAATAATTTCATTTTTTGGCCAAAACTGGAAAAAGAGCAAGGGGTTAGCCTTACTGTTTTGATGAAATTTGGTCAAAAATTGACTTTTTTCAAAAAAATGCAGAAATTCCTTTGAAAGGTCCATCCGTCCACAAATCACATTGGAATGTGTTCTAGGGTCCCTTGGGCATCTTGTTTGCAATTTTGAAGCAATTTCATTTTTTTGGTCAAAACTGGAAAAAGAGCAAGGGGTTAGCCTTACTTTTTTAATGAAATTTGGTCAAAAATTGACTTTTTTCAAAACAACGCAGAAATTCCTTTGCAAAGTCCATCCGTCCACAAATCGCATTATAATGTGTTCCAGGGTCCCTTAGGCATCTTTCCTGCAAGTTTGAAACAATTTCATTTTTTGGCCAAAATTGAAGAAAGTGCAAGGGGTTAGCCTTACTTTTTTAATGAAAATTGGTCAAAAATTGACTTTTCTCCAAACAATGCAGAAATTCCTTTGCAAAGTCCATCCGTCCACAAATCTCATTGTTATGTGTTCTAGGGTGCCTTAGGTATCATTCCTGCAAGTTTGAAACAATTTCATTTTTTGGCCAAAATTGAGGAAAGTGCAAGGGGTTAGCCTTACTTTTTTAATGAAAATTGGTCAAAAATTGACTTTTTTCAAAACAATGCAGAAATTCCTTTGCAAAGTCCATCCGTCCACAAATCACATTTGAATGTGTTCTAGGGTCCCTTGGGCATCTTTCCTGCAAGTTTGAAGCAATTTCATTTTTTTGGCCAAAACTGGAAAAGAGCAAGGGGTTAGGCTTACTTTTTTGATGAAATTTACTCAAAACTTTACTTTTCTCCAAACAATGCAGAAATTCCTCTGAAAAGTCCATTGCCACAAATCGCATTGGAACAACATTCTAGGGTCCCTTAGGCATATTTCCTGCAAGTTTGAAACAATTTCATTTTTTGGCCAAAATTGAAGAAAGTGCAAGGGGTTAGCCTTACTTTTTTGATGTAAATTGGTCAAAAATTGACTTTTCTCCAAACAATGCAGAAATTCCTTTGCAAAGTCCATCCGTCCACAAATCTCATTGTTATGTGTTCTAGGGTGCCTTAGGTATCATTCCTGCAAGTTTGAAACAATTTCATTTTTTGGCCAAAATTGAGGAAAGTGCAAGGGGTTAGCCTTACTTTTTTAATGAAAATTGGTCAAAAATTGACTTTTTTCAAAACAATGCAGAAATTCCTTTGCAAAGTCCATCCGTCCACAAATCACATTTGAATGTGTTCTAGGGTCCCTTAGGCATATTTCCCGCAAGTTTGAAGCAATTTCATTTTTTTGCCAAAATTGAAAAAAGTGCAAGGGGTTAGAATTACTTTTTTGATGAAATTTGGTCAAAAATTGACTTTTCTCCAAACAATGCAGAAATAACATTTTTACAAATGAACTGAAACTAAGAAAATTTTGTCATCATTTATGAACATTTATTTATCAGCAAACAGAACCCAAATGTCTGAAATTACATGGTCATTTTACGTACATGTATACCCAAAGCAACGTTATCCTGCAAGTTATATCAAGCAAATTATGGAATTGTTCAAAAGATGACTATTTTACAACACATTAAAATTGTGTAATTTGTTTTAAGATTCCTGAAAATGAGAATGGGAAATACTCAGTCTAATATTGTTTACATACATCATGTATTTTTGAAAAGAAACAAACTTTTACAAATATCCAAGTTTTCGTTCAGAGAGAAAACACAGTCATCTTGTAAAAAAAAGTCAAATTTATCAACGTTTTGCCAACTAACCTGGTTTTTCTCATCTACATCTAATCACATCTTGAATGAAAAAGAATTTCATAGCAATTCATATTGGAAATTTAATGGGTTACTTTTTAAAAGTGTGATGTGTGTGGCTGAAGAGATAACAAAGTTATTTCAAATATTATACAGTTCAAGAACTGATGAAAAAAAACCTTCATTTGTCTTTTTTTAAATTATGGGCCAAAAAAAAGAGACAAAAACTGATTATTACCATTTTCATAATGAAAATTATAATGTGAAATGATAAAAATGCTCAAAGCTTGTGAACATTATTTAACTTTCCTTACGTAAATGAACAGCTGTTAGAATGAACCATTTTGAAATGTACACTTTAAAAAATGTATGTATATATATATATATATATTTTTACAATAGAATCAATATTTACAAACATGAATACATTGCCCAGTGAGGCTTTCCATACATGTAAGTTGCTGATTGTCTCAACAGGCTGTCCATAGCTCCATACACACCTACCATAAAGACCTTATGCTTGCATCCACCATGTACATGTGCCAGCCTATGCAAGGGGTGATGGTGACCACTGAACAACATTGTATGTAACAAGCCTTGCAAAGCATTGTAGGTACCAGGGTACCGGTATGTATACCCTGATGTAGTCTAGGGGCTAGACGTTGTATGGTTTGATACTTGCTAACCTGCCGCCGCGATAATCCACTGCCGTGAGAGGGCGCTATCACAACCAACCATTATCACCAACGAACCCGTCATCAGAACAACGTCTGGGACATTTCCTAACATCTCCCCCCGACATTTGTTCTTTGCGATACAAGTAACACAGTTACATCAAGTTTCTTATACAGGACCAAATGTGTATCCAGCACGGACAATCAAATTTCAACCCCAACAAAACTATTGCACACTTATTAAAAACAATTACAAACACAAATCAAATCCACAAAATCATATCAAATCAAACAAAAATGCAATACCTTGTCTTTTGACAACTTCAACGACCACGACTGCTACATCGAGTATACTGAATGATGTATAGAGATGAATTAAAATGAGGAATATGACTCACAGGAAGTTGCAAACATTGATTGTACCAAATCATCGTACATTACCCTGCTTATTCTGGATATTTCAAGAATATAAGTTGCAACAAAATCCGAGACTCAAAATGCTACATTCAATCAAAATGTGCATGTTTAAAATTGTGTTCGTCAAGAAAAAGAAGTTTTTAAAACAACTGTTCGCAAGCTACATGTTGCAATAAAAGATTTCTTGTAAAACTTAGGTTAACCAAATTAAATTCACAAAATAAGGCAAAATTTCAACCCAAAAATCAAGAGAATTTCTCTTCACAAAGTCTCTTAAAAAGAAGTATTAAAATTCAGGCAAAAATCATCGATAAACAAGAATGTTTGTGCGGTTTGCGAAGTAAAAAAGTACAAAGTTTTTATGCTCAAACTTCAATCACAAATACTTTTTTTTTTAAAGCAGTAAAATTTTTTTAGCCAATTGATACCAAATGAACCTCCTTGACACAGACACAAGTATGTATAAGGTAATATTAAATAGATTTTAACACGGAAAAGCTGACAACTACCAAATGTGTGTCTCAACACTAAATATACAACTTGACACCAACTTTCCAATGTTCAATCTGTATTTTAGTATAAAGATGTATTCATTGTAATGTACAGAGAAACTTGTCCAAGAACAAATGGGTCAGAGTCATCCAAGAAAAAAATCTTCATATTTACAAATAGATTTCCAAAGTATGAAATGTCTTCATTGTACCTGAAGTTTTGGTAGGTGTTGGGAGTGGGAATTGGTGGATTTTGGCACCCACTTTTTGGCAAGTTTTCCCGCATAAAAAACGCTTATTAAAAAACCCAGCCCATTTACAAGTCCAGCATGTTGTGTCTACTACAAATATACCTGCAGCGTATTCGATGAATATATTTGAATGTTATAAAGGCTAAGTTACAAGTTAACTCGATGGAATTTCAGATCATCTATTTGCAATGTCATTTCTTTTTACTATACATCTGTACATTTAACTGTATTTCAAACGAACATTAGAATAAATATTCAAGCTGTCTAAACTGACTCTATAAGTGCAGGTACCACACCACAAACTTCACAGAGTCTCACAAGAAGGTGTCAGGGAACAATACCACTATGGCAACTTCATTTTCATTGGTTGAGCTTTCAGCTTCAAATCAGCTTCAGCAGAGCTGATTGGCTCATCACACCTAACCCCCAAATCCACCACACAGTGCCAGCTGTGCTATTTTATTTTGCAGGTTCTTTAATAACTTCCAAGATTAAAATAAATAATTGAAGCTTTCGCTCTTCTACAGACAGTGGTCTAGCAACAGCAGATTCACATGCGAAACAAAAATGCAAGCTTCTAATTGTACGCCTAATTTTTGATTAGAATATAAATATCGCTGCCTTTAACTAGTGGTTATTAGGCAGGTATAAATTACAAAGCTAAATAGTTAAATGGCAATAAACTGCAAATAACAGCACACACTCGATGATTCTCCAGTAAATTTCAAGCATATTAATAAATAAAATAATCTTAAATTCAAAACAAAAGACCATGCTACCCAAGGGTGATGGCTTCAACCCGCCTGGCTTGTGGTCGAGTGAAAATAAATCCCACTCCCCGTTCCGTTCTTCTCAAAATAATCCCGGCTTGAACTGATTGATTGTAGGTCAACTCGCCCCTTGGCCGACTCGCCCCTAACCGACTCGCCCAAGCTCGCAGGGGGCAAGTTTGTAAGGGGCGAGTCAGCCAGGGGGCGAGTTGACCTTATGCCAACTGATTAATCACACGGTGTATGTATGCGTGCACGAGTCCAAAGTCTCTGCTATGAACATGTGATAGAAAAGTGTAGAGTCTGACAGGCAGAGATCTTTGGGTTTCAGGGTCAGTAAGTGGGCCCATGAAACTGGGTCCAATTAAATTTTCAACTTTGGCAGATTTCACGTGGTGAGGGTTGCTGTTATGAAGGTAAAATCAAATGTTGGCATTTGAATGCAGATTATGTTATGCATCTGGTTTTCCAGTAAACAAGTCTCAACAACAGAACAAAATATAAATAATCCTAAGCAACATACATGTACATGAACTCACAGCAGCAGACTTAGTTGCAATGCTTCATACACAAGCACATTCAATTCTACTATTTTGACAATATAACTATATTATCAAAACTTGACAAAAGATAAATTGATTAATAATTTATTTAATGTTTACCAATTACCAATGTACAAAAAAGAATTGACATTCCATCGATAAATCAACCCGTCAATTATTACATAATACACTGAATTCAAAATAATCAATTAGTTTCAATAATTTAGCATCAAAGAATAACCGATAGCAAATACCTAATCAATTATCGGCTAATCATCAATAATGCACAAACTATTTACATCTGTTGTTTCATGAAAGAACCGGAGTATTATAAATGAACTATGTACAGATATTCTACAAATAAGGCTGTCTGTTTTCTACAAACTTCGATAATAACTCCAAAACGTTGTTTGTATTTTTATCATGAATACATGAACTCTCCAAAAAGCTAACAAACCTGGTCAAGGTGACCTATCTGGCGCCCTCTATTTGCAATAATTATGTCAATAGAGGGCAGTTTATAAATTTAGCTTTAAAAAGCTGTCAAGTTGTGACAACTATGAGCAAGTCTGAAAGGACTAGGGTCAACCATAGGACTAGGGTCAACCATAGGACTACGGTCAACCATAGGACTACGGTCAACCACAGGACTACGGTCAACCACAGGACTACGGTCAACCACAGGACTACGGTCAACCACAGGACTACGGTCAACCACAGGACTACGGTCAACCACAGGACTATGGTCAACCATAGGACTACAGTCAACCATAGGACTACGGTCAACCACAGGACTACAGTCAACCACAGGACTACGGTCAACCACAGGACTACGGTCAACCACAGGACCATGGTCAACCACAGGACTATGGTCAACCACAGAACTATGGTCAACCACAGGACTACCGTCAACCACAGGACTATGGTCAACCACAGGACTACGGTCAACCACAGGACTACGGTCAACCACAGGACTATGGTCAACCATAGGACTACAGTCAACCATAGGACTACTGTCGACCACAGGACTATGGTCAACCACAGGACTACGGTCAACCACAGGACTATGGTCAACCATAGGACTACAGTCAACCATAGGACTACGGTCAACCACAGGACTACAGTCAACCACAGGACTACGGTCAACCACAGGACTACGGTCAACCACAGGACCATGGTCAACCACAGGACTATGGTCAACCACAGAACTATGGTCAACCACAGGACTACCGTCAACCACAGGACTATGGTCAACCACAGGACTACGGTCAACCACAGGACTACGGTCAACCACAGGACTATGGTCAACCATAGGACTACAGTCAACCATAGGACTACTGTCGACCACAGGACTATGGTCAACCACAGGACTACGGTCAACCATAGGACTATGGTCAACCACAGGACTATGGTCAACCACAGGACTATGGTCAACCACAGGACTATGGTCAACCATAGGACTACAGTCAACCATAGGACTACGGTCAACCATAGGACTATGGTCAACCACAGGACTACGGTCAACCACAGGACTACGGTCAACCATAGGACTACAGTCAACCATAGGACTACAGTCAACCATAGGACTACTGTCGACCACAGGACTATGGTCAACCACAGGACTATGGTCAACCATAGGACTATGGTCAACCATACATGTTTGATGATCGTCACATAAATGAAGGATGGCTGGACTACTCTAGATGACTTTTTGGAACCGAATCACAGGGCATGGTACCATCGCTGGTAACCAACAGCCGTGCGCACCATAAAGCAAAGCAGGTAGCCAGGACCAAGGAGTTTAACCATCGTTTGACTAGAGGCATTTGCGCATGCAGGCGTAAGTTACGTCATAAATCAAGCACTAGTTGACTAATGGTCCTCGCCAGAACTTCCTCATTGATTAAAACATCTGGACACATAATGGCTGAAGTGCGCAATGCAGATAAACAAGAACTGCAATCTGAGTCACAGATGGAAGCCATTTTGTGTCCAAATGTATAAGAATAGATTGTGACAACTCTGTAAATCCACATACCCAACTCTTCAGCAGCTGAAGGACTCAACTTCAACTCTGCAGTTGAAACAATTTCGGTATTTATTAAGCCGAGATAAATACCTGATCAAGGTGATGCTAAACTCAGCCAGGCACACTGCCACATGACCTGTCACATGATGTGTCACATGTGTGGTCATGTGACAGTCCTCTAGCGTCAGTCCTTCTTACAGGAGAAGCGTTTGACATCGGCACGAGTCTGACGCAATGAGCGGAGTCTGTATTTGGTCAAAGACAAAAGCAGAAATCCATTAAGAAGGTTTCGCCAAGATTGAGTTTGGAATAATGATCATGCAAAACATACCAGGCATGCTAAAGAGCTTGCACATGTATAAGACAAATCCAAACTGCACAAACAAATTGGTTTCTTTTGCATTTTGTGGCCTATTTGCTAGAAAAGTACTGCGGCAGCCTCAACAGGAGGATTTCTTCATTTCTACGAGGAGGGAGGGAGGAAGACTTGAGAGATACAGAATGGGGGATAAAACAAAACAATTGAATATTGGGAGGAACCAACAATGCAGCAGGTTATGACACTGACAGTTAGGGTGGGATTGGGGTGAGAATTTAAAAGGGTTGTACACTGCTCAACAGCATGCAATAACTGTAACATTCAGTTTGATGCAGCATCAGAAGTAGAGACAGGAGACATTTCCCTTGCAGTTCATTCTCTTTTTCGAATTAGCATCCAAACCATTCCCAAACAATTATTGAATTATTCATGTTACTGTTATTATTACCTACTAATTATAAGCTACAAACATAACTACAAACAACAAGCACTGACTATACATGTATGTAGAATAGGCTTCATGCGAGAACAAGAGAGGGTGCTTTTTGGGGTTCTTTTTTAGGCTTTTGGGTTCTTTTTTAGGTTCTTGAAAATAGTGAATATGATAATAATATTGAAATAGTGAATATGAAGGGTCCTTAAAATTACACGAACATTTTGTCCGAGTGGTTAATATAACACAGGATTTTTTATTATAACCACGTGGAATTTTGAACAGGCTTGTTTAGGGTATGTGCAGTATTTAATCTCTATTGAATTTTAATAACTTTTTTTTATATATTTATCTTCTTTAAGTACATGTTTTGGAATTTTTGCGTAATATTTTTTGTAATTTGTGTTTTAATGTAAAAGGTCAATGGAATTTCCCGTCAGGGATAATAAAGTCAAATTGAATTGAATTGAATTGAATTTTGGATCACTTTTGAGAGCTCAGTGGACTGGGACACACCACCATTGCACACAGAGTTGCACACGTATAGCACGAAGAATGCATGCCTTATTTATCCTGAAAGTGCACAGAGCCATCTTCGCTTCAGTTGAGCGTCGGGCGTCGTCGGCAATGTGTTTGAATGTCCCTCCCAGCTCCCTCCCCCAACTCTCCCTATCTTACCGTTGAGGGGGTACTTGGGCAAGGAGCCAATACATCAAAACATCTTGGGACTTACACATAGATAGGATAGGGGCAATAAAATCCCAACTTGCTATGAGCCAGGGACCTACTACCCCTCAAGTGCATAACCTCGTACAATTTCTTTTTAAAAACTGAATCCACCATGATCATCAATCGATTATCATTTGTATGTTGTGCTGTACTGCTATATCACTAAATGTTTTATCTCCAATAAAAACAAATGTTATTATCCAATGTAAGTGTAATTTCCAGTTGTTGTTTTTTAATAAATACCTTTCTTAGCTGTCTTTGTATTGAACACTGTAAATGTCATGTAAATTCAGCATTTTGCTGCAATATGATTTTTATGAAATAAACCAATTATAAACCAATTATATCCCCCCCCTCCAAAAAAAATGTTCACCGTTGAAGATTTATGGGGCTTTTCCACTTTAAATTCAATAAGCAGGCCACTGGAAAGCTGAACTCTTATTGTGCATCACTTGACCGGACATCAGACACAAAAACAAACTCTTCATCTGCACATACAGGTACTGCTTGGACAACTGACACATAACGTCCATTTCCAACCAAACATGGAGTTAATGTTGAAGAAACACTTAACAAGCTACTTCAACCTTCATTCTGATCACAACCCCAGCACAGTTCAACTGACAAAGACCACCCCCAGAAAACTTACCCAGATGGAACATTCCAGAAATGCCTTCATGTGATTGGTTAAATGTTAGAATGCACACTGTTAGTAGGGGTGGTATCATTGAAAGGGTGGGGCAAATAATGTTTTAAATTAGCTTAATGACTATGACGTTGAGAGCATTTCTATAAGAGCAATCACATTGTACATGGTGAATTCATGACGTCATTTGTTAGTTGGATGTTCAACAATCCCATGTACATATGAACTTGGAGTGTTTAACAAATTATAAGTCACACAGCACTACAATGGAAATAGAAGAATTATGCCATAACTGGGTGTAAACCTTTGAAGTCTTACAAATAGTTTATCTTTTCAATAAACAAAAAATAGACGAAGATTTCCATACAAATATATGACTCATTAGGGAGTTAAATCTTAATTTTAAAAGAAACAAAAGAAAGAAGGTTAGCAGCACATATTATGTGTTTGTATTATCCCACCTTCCCAGCAATCTTGAGAAACATATTTTCAGTGAACGACTGCTGCAAATATAAGCTATTAATAGTACATTTTAAATGAAGGTATTTATTGAAATCAAGACTGCAACTGCAGTGAATGACTTACTTGTTTTGACATCTTCGGATGAATCGTTGAATCTTACGTGCTGCATCCTGCTGTAATTTCTGACGAGCTAAGCGTTTATCCCTGCACAAAGAACCAACAGTGAGGATGATGATAGGCTAAGATCAATAGTAAGACAGTAAGATGGCTGTGACTTCTGAAAATTGGACCGAAACTATTTTCACAGTCAAATGTCAGGTGGAGTAAACGATTTGGCAAAGTTCATGAAATGTTTCCAAAAATTGAATTTGATGAAAAGTAAAGTCATGTCAATCCCCCTCCAGCTTTGAAGCCACTCCCCCAAATTCCTCCCCACTCACCTGAATCTCTGCTGAATCAAGATGGCAGCATCCCGGCTCTTACGAAACTGCTCCTGAGCCCGGTAACCACGGTAATGGCTCTGGATGACGATAGCAGCACGCCGACTGCGCTGAAACTGACGATAGTGATTGTAACTACGGAAACGACTCTGAATGACCTTAGCTGCCTCAGACATCTTGCTGTACATGATGTACTGAAAAATAAAGAGAAAAAAAATGAAAATTGTATATGATACAATAAAAAAAAAGGAAAGTTAAATTCAGGAGAACAAAACATGACAGGTAAAAAAAACTATTAATCTATAAACAATTCTAAATAATGTGTGGAAAGGAGACAGATATGGTGTACATGATGTACTGAAAAATAAAGAGGAAAAAAATGAAAATTGTATATGATACAATAAAAAAAAAGGAAAGTTAAATTCAGGAGAACAAAACATGACAGGTAAAAAAAACTATTAATCTATAAACAATTCTAAATAATGTGTGGAAAGGAGACAGATATGGTGTACATGATGTACTGAAAATAAAGAGAAAAAAAATAAAATTGTATGTGATACAATAAAAAAAAAAGGAAAGTCAAATTCAGGAGAACAAAACATGACAGGTAAAAAAAACTATTAATCTATAAACAATTCTAAATAATATGTGTGGAAAGGAGACAGATATGGTTAGGGACAGGATGACAGACTACAGCCTAGACATAGTGAGACTCAACACACCTGTTTATATCTTCGGTAGTAGTTCTGTATTATCACTGCAGCCTCTAGCTCCTGCTGTTTCTGCTGCTGACGACCCTACAACACAAACACCAAACTTGGCATCAATATTCAGTTCAATTTTCACATACATACAGAGTGACACAATTTAAGCCTAATCCTCCGGGGGATTTTGTCTAGAAACCCTGTCAAATGCAACAACATGTAACAGTTGTCTAAAGGAGAAGCCTGCCCAGTGTAGCAGGATCCATCAGGGCAAACATCTTGTCAGGCCACACTGCCTCAGAGTCTGTGGTCACTGAATGCAGCAGGATACAACAGTGGCATTGTTCAATGAGACTAGCTCTCATTGTTTCAGAGTTGGCCGTTTGTGCACTGATTCTGAAGGCTCAATGCAGCAAGGTCCCACAGACTTGTTACACCTGATGCCCTGTGTTGTGTCTGGCAGGGTCATGGCTCATCAAGTAGTAAGAGGATTGGGAGAGGATTACCTTGTATTGTCTGAATGCATTCTGGATGACCAAGGCTGCTTGGTACAGTTGCATCTGCTCCTCATCTAAAAAAGGTGGGAAAATTGAGAGAAAAGGGTTCAATAATAAAAAGGTTAAAAATTAACCCTCCAAGTCTTCTGCACTTCGCAACCCTTCAAGTTTTGCAAAACCAGTTTTGCCCACGGAGTTTAAGAGCCCACACTTCAGATTCCTTTGAGGCAATTTTCTATGGAGAATGGATAACTCTTCAAATCCCTGCACAATTGTTTTTTGTGGTTAAACTCAGGGCAAGCAAGAAGAATTCGGTCACTCTTCAAAGCTGTCACTGCTCTCCATGCACAGTGCTGGTTTTCTTTCTGTTTTTGTGTGTGCAGCGACTCTCTGTGTGAAACATTTCATATCCCTTGACTTGAAACTGACCTGCAGTGTTTTAGAGGCTTCCCACTAGGAGGGTTGATGCTAACTGCTACTTAATGTCTGAGAAAAACGTGCCTTTTGAAGCGATTGCTTAAGTAATAGGACAGTTATGACAAAAACTACAGTGAGAAATCAAAAGCAGCTACTAATGGTTGAAAAGGTAGTAGAATACACTGCGACAAACATGGTGAGTTAGAACTACCTGAGAGAGTTAGCAGGGAGAATGCCCCGATGACTCCAAGACTGTGACTTGCTCCTTGGAGGAACTCACACCAATCAGCGGTAGAACTCTCCTCCTCAAAGCTTAGGTTACTGGGACTAGGCAGGCAGGAATCTGTGCTGTATGTACTGCCAGCTGAACTCTCATCATGAACGGACCTAAACAAAGGAAAAATTCCTCGACTTTGCCATGACATTTCCAGAACTAAATTAGGGCTCTCCTACACTGTTTTGGCATCTTATGAGCCTATTGCTCTGGAGGCAAGGGACACCACTCCCTTTCAGTTTTCTGGTTTGGCTCCAGACCACTGGAGCACCACAAAATCATCAGAATTGTGCAATAAATGAGCATACCTGTACATGCATTTAAGAGGAAGTATAGTAAACTGGAACACAAACTGGAAGATTGCAAATATTACACATCTTCACGTATGGGTTGGGCAGGATCCCATGACTTTTCCTTGGAACAGCAACATTCAATGACTCCTTGTTAATCACAAAAATTCATGACTTTCCATGACAGTTTTGTTTTAGTGTGTCATATTTAATCAGTTGGAGAGCCCCTCGACAGAAACCATGTTTCTTTTGGGTAATCCAGCGGGAGCTGGTTAAATATTATATTGTGTATGTTTTGTCTAAAATGTTCTTGTGTATTTCTGAGTATTAAATGTTATTGTTTGTAATTGTTGTAACAAATATATCCCAAAAAACGAAATAAATGTAAACGTAAATGTAAATTCCAGGATCTTCCAGGATTGTCCATGACTGGGGGGACCCTGCAACCAACCTGCCTGTTCAATAGACTTTCAATCAATCTGTCATTTACCTGTGCGACTCCTGATCACCAGACGTATCCATTCCATGGCCTGACCCTGAGCCACCACTAAAGGGCGCCATTGAACTGAAGACATCGTGTTGATCTCTCGTCTGAGGGAATTTGATACTACCCTTGATCCTAGCTGGTAGAGCATTAAGGATCTGCTCGGCTAGATTCAAGTATTGCTCCTGAAATCAAACCCCCCAAAAAATCGTTATCATTCAAAAATCTTCAATTTTCTTCAATACACGATTTTCAAAAAGCCAATTTATATAACTTCAATGTTGAACCCATTTCAAGCATTAACATTCAATCATGTTTTGTGATTAACTTTAAGCTGTAGACATGCATTCTGATATTTTCAATGACCACATGTACGCATGTGAATAAGTGCAACAGAAATTGTAACCCTGACAAAGTTTCATCGTGCTAGTTATCCGGTCAAAACAAAAACTTACCTTTTGGTTTGGTTCAGTAATCCAACTGAATGGTGCCGATGGTCCTGCTGCCTCCCCACCCTCTCGTATCGCCGTGTCTGTCTGCATGGGGGAATCACATCTGCTATCCCCCTGCCCCTGGGTCTGTCCTGGGTTTTGAGCTGGGTTGTGACTCCTGATATGTGGTTGGAATGCGTGTCCTGGGGATTGGCCTGGAATGTGCCCATAGCTATGACCACGGTTCTGTCCTTGGTTGTAGCTGTGGGTCTCTCCTGAGGTATGACCTATGGTTTGTCCTGGGTTGTGCTCTGTGCCTAGACCCATCTCTGCTCCTAGTTTTCTGAGCTGCTCAGCGTGTCGTTTCAAGTCGTCACGTTCTTGTTCAGAAAGCCTTCCAACATCATCGTGCTACATCCAATGTAATCACAGGTGAGTGTTTAATGTTTGCAACTTTAAGTTTAATCGTTTGCTGTCTTCAAATTATGAGCATCAAAACAGTAAAACATTGTCATTCTACGGATTGACTCAATTCAGGCGACTCACAATGCAGTGGGCCCCCAAGAGTTTGCCATGGAGAGTCAACTTTTCAAGTTTACGGTCGACAAAACATGGCCCATTTGAATGAGTGTCAGCTAATTTGTTATAGATTGGGGCAAAGCGTTCTGCAGCCTTACAAAAAAAAACAACATAATGATAAAAAGAAAAGGGCAAACAGATACTTGAATCATACGCTTACGAAACTACTGACCGGAAAAACGAACAATTTCAAATGTCCCGCCCTGCAAATTTGTCGACTATCTCCCACAATGCACTGGGAAAAATGAACTCTCCGTGGCAAACTCTTGGTGGCGCACTGCATTGTGAATCGCCTGAATTCACATGTATATATCAAACAATCTAACACAATTGAGTCTAATGAGCACACATTTCTTAGACGATGAAAGCACCTAGAATATTTATTCAGTTCAACAGTCTTACCCTTTGAATATTCTCAATACCACGTAGCAACTGCTGTACATCGAGCAGATGAGCTCCCCTAGAATCATGACCTCGGGATGACCTCCGAGACTTCTCAAGTCCCGTATCCATATCCATCGAATCTCCAAACCCACCATAGAGGGCGCTATGCGGTTTCAGGTTCTGACCAAAGACCGGCTGACTGGTGACAGAGACCCGAGGACTTTGAGACTTGAAGGAAATGGGACTGAGGAATCCTTGAGAGATTGGACTGACAGAGAGTTGAGACATGCAACCGGAGGATGGGGATGGGGAGTCATAAGGAGAAGCCAGCTCCAAGGGTGACCGAGGTGTGGTTGAAGATGAAGGCGTCGCAGTCGACGGTGATGACAACATGAACGCTGGTACTCCGTCGGTTGGTTTCTGCTGAGGGATGGTTATGGGTTGACTACTGAATGATGGGAACAATCCCGGACCATCAAACTCCAAGTGTTGTAGGCATTCAGCGAGGGCAGTATGACCGCGACTCTTGGCCATGTCGATAGGGAGACGACCCAACGAGTCACAGACGTGGAGAGCTTGGGGACTCCAAACAAAGAGAAGCATTGCTGTCTCTTTATGTCCGAGGGCTGCTGCCCACATCTAGAAAAGCAAAACATCAATTAGGATGTTACAGATATGGAGATCAGGATCTATGATTGAAATCATGTTTAACTTTGATAAATATTAATATCGCAATGATGTTCACATCTTCAACTTGAAGATATATACCATGCGCTCTTCAAAAAGAGGATTTTTTTCCCCTCCTAACGAAGTTTCAATTTGTATGGAAAAAAATACTTTATGTCAATTTTGGGGGTTTGAAACCCTCTGAAAGTGCGCATAATTGAACCCGCCCTGCGAGTGCTGAATGTTTGGCAGCAAATAATTCTATCTTTGTGAAGAAATAATTCATTAATTAAATGCAGGTTCCATGTCTCATTCAAAACTGAATAACTTCTATATTTAAAACAATAGCAATTGAAAAAAAAATATCACGTTTTTGAGGTGAAACTCGAAAATAGCACGTGGAACGCATCTTTAATATTGTAATAATGTTCAAATCTTCCACTTAAAAGTGAATAATGTTCAAATCTTCAGCTTCAAGGTGATAGGGTCAGAATTCTGAGCATTTTACTCACCAGTGGAGTACATGAGAAATGATCTATGTCCAATGGATCCACTTCCATCTCAAGCACAAGGCTGTGCTGCTCATTTCTGTCAAATGATGAAAAAAGGACATTTTATTCAAAATCTTATAAATTCTTTAAACTATACACCATTTTCAGCTTTTTAATACTTGGTTTTGCCTGTCTTTGAGTTTTATTGTGATATCTTACCATATCTCAAACTAACATTTCCTGAATTATGTTCTTTACACATATTCTAGACTGTGACAGAATTCACATCCTAGAGTTCTTGGATCATCAACATAAAATCCTTCAAAATCGTCCACAAAGCTGGTGGGTTTTGAAGAATCTTAGACTGCTTTGGGTAAATGATTCTTAGGGACCATGACCATTCAGCCCCGGTATGAAAAGGGCCCCCGGGTAAGCTCGTCCCCTCCCAAGAAGTCCTTTCGTATCGTCCCAGCTACCAGCCCAGGAGCTGGTCTGGTTGCTCATCAGGAACTCCTCTATCCTGGGGTTTATTGTTTGCAAGTATTGACACATGTAATATATCCCAGAAGAAACCTGCTTGTGGTTTTCATCTCTCAGCGCGAAACAATAGAACACTTTCGTCAGCACAGATCAAAACCCCTGCCATGCGGTTTCGCGCACAATGGGACCGTAGATTAAAAAAGGCATTTGGAAGGATTTTATCTTTAATCCAGTACGTTTGCTATTGTTCTGCTCTGGACGTCTCCGAAAGGCAATAAATTGATGCGCCTGACTGACTTCAAAACTTCTGGTCAGACAGGACCATGTACCGACGAGACTGGGCTGAAGACCGGACTGGCTCTGGACCGGACGAGGTACCGGGGGACCCTTTTCATACCAGGGCTGAATGGTCACAGTCCCTTACCTCCAAGTGACCAGCGTACTAATCAGCTTAGTGTATCCCAATGCAGCGGCCAGATGAAGTAACGTCATCCCTCTATGTGAGCTTGACTCCGCCCCTAATTGGGAGGAGCTACCAGGAGCCCATTGACCTCGCATGAATTGTTGACATAGCGCCACCACACGGTCCTCAAAGGATAAATGCTGGTCACTCTGGCCAGTAGATAAACCCTAATAGCAAAAAAAATGTATATTCCATTTGAGTACTGACGACCACAAATGTGAAAATATACTTCTGTGACAACATATTCGATTGTTTGTCATATTGAATGGCAGTGCTGTATTAAAGTGATTAATACAAATGTACATGAATATCGTCACGTCAGTGCAACAAGGTCGTCACTCCATTCTGCAATAAAGTCATATCTCGTGCGAATACGCTCCGTGCAACAAGGTCATATCTCAACGTCCATTGACTGTATGTGTGTACATCTGGGTTATTTTAAGTGAGATACGACCTTTTGACATTCTGAAACTTGCATTTCATGTGCGGCCTATTTTAGGAGATACGATCTTGTTGAACGGACACGACGATATACACTTGGTACACATGCTTGGGCTATGTGCCATCCAAAATTAACATTGCAGAATTAGGTGAAGGGATGCTGTGACGCCAAACTGCAGTTGCTTTATCAGAGTGCTTTCTTTACGTCACTGAAACCCCGCTCAGTTGAGACAAATCTAGTCTCACTAAACAGTCTGCTGAATAAACACATTGTGGATTCCATGTTGCTAATCACAGCAAGCAACAATGGGGAAACACAAAATACAGAATAGCTATAGAAATCAAGTTTAATGCATTATAACACAGGCTATTGATAAGGGTACAAGGCGACAACAAGCTTGTCAATTCCTAACTCCAGGCTTTCACATAGTAACATTGATAAGAATACATATTCACTGACTACACAGATAAGAAGAAAACAGTATTTCTCATACTCAATGATTAAATTTGATATTTGATGGTATATTTTTTACCTGTTTAGTAGAACTCTGTGATTGTGACTTGTTTAAGACAACTCGTCTCTCAATGTGCTCCAACCGATCCAAGATGGCAACGTGAAACTGATTCTCTGTTAGACAAAACAAACAACAGAAAAACTTTTAATGAATGGTGCATGAAAGCTCATTTCCAGTCCCATTATTGAATCAAATCAATGAACTTTGACATGATATTATAACATTTTATACCAAACACCAGGAAGCAACAGTGCTTGTTACTTTCATTAATCCAATAAAACATAAAGCTATATCAGTAAATTATTTTTTCATGGAATTCTGTCTTGGTCTTGGACAGATGTAAATAGAATACAGTTACTCAACTTTTACATTTTGAGAATTAGAATTTAACAATGGACATGCCATAACCATTAAAATTTCTTTTGTTTGTTGTTGAACTGATTTTTTTGAAGCATATTAGGAGAGAAGACAGTTAAATACTTACCATCCAGTGACAACCATTCATGTTGTCTGTTGGGTCTCTGCTGTGCACTGCGAGCTTTGTACTCAAATATGGCTGACTTGGAAATGACAACTCCATCACATAACACCTACGTGTAAGACAAAGCACGTAAACTTAAAGATACCCAGACACTGCTTTGAACATATCCAATCATACAAAAAAATAATAAATAAAAAAACAATAATGAGTGAAGCCTTTTTGCTTGAGTTGCCAACAATGCAAAACATCACGATGTTAGATATGTCTGGCAATCTGTCATTTAGCAAAGTGCCTTATCTTGTTCAAAAGATGCCCAAACATCGTGATTATAAGACATTCGTGTTTGTCTATTTGTCAGTCTGTCTATTTGTCTGTTACCCACCTGTAGAGCTATAACGCCAGCTTCATGAGCGGGGCAGTAGCAGCGAAGTACCCCTGTCTGTACCAGCGATGCTGGCACAGCATAATTGTCAAACATGCATTGATAGTTTGCTGTAGTGGAATGCCAAGGACCCGTCACAAGAATCTTCACACCTCCCTACAAATGTGGCCAGGAAAATAAGTTATGTGACTAGTTACACAAGAATATTCATGTAAAATGTTATCGCTACGTCAAACAATTGATGAGAAGTAAAACATTCCTTCTCAGTTGTCAGTCAACTTGTAGAAAACTTTCTTAAAGGACTCAACATCTTCTTGACTTCATTGATAATGATAGAGTTCGTTCTCAAGACTAAGTTGTGGTCATTGTGAGTTCACTCAAAGTTTGAAGAGTCTTGCTGATAGGTCACAGGAACCCAAATAGTGTGATGTCCTAATAGGAAGCAATATTTCCTATTTTAAGAGTGTAACGGTGTCACTTGACTAAATACTGAGGTTTTTATTTGAAGAGTGGGGGCAGATATTGGGATGGGAGTGGGAGAGAGGATGGTGTGGTAGAGGGGATGAGGGTTAGGTGGGGTGTTGGGATATGGTGTTAGGGTGAGGGGTAGGGGGTGGGTTGACAGGAAGAATCTTACCTCTGGGTAGGACCAATCCGGGGAGAACTCTGTAATAGCTTCCAGACATTGCTCAGGTAATGACCTCCCTTGATGTAACACTAACAAGCCTTCTGACTGACCATGACTTCCACTGGTCACTCTACTGGTCAGTCTGTCTGTCTCTGATTGATGGGTGGAGTCTGGAACAGGTGTACTGCCTACATAAACCAAGGAAAACGGCAGTATGAAAATTAGAGAGTTGAAATTTAGAGATTTCTGAAAAATTCCTTACCACACTTTTACAAGAAAGTTGCATCAAATACTCACTTTTACCGGCATCAAAGGTAAATTTCTAACTAATTTTCCCACTCTAGTCAAATTCACTCACAGGAAATTAAAAATTATCACCATTATTCCATTTACAATAAAAATATTAATCTTGCTGGACTTCACGGCCAGCCTAACGATCTCTCTCATAGGACGCCATCTTCGCAGGAAAATTACAACTGCGTATTCAAGGCACGGGTGCGTGTGCGCCTGATGCAAGATGTTCTAAACACGAGCGCATGTTGCTTGAAATTTCTTCGAAATATGGCGAAGCCGATACGCGTCACAAAATGTTGACGCTCAAAATGCCGATGCACGTGGCAATCAGTAGGAAGTGATGTCATTTGAGAGAGACCTATTGTCCTCGGAGTCACTGACTGACCAAGTCATTGACTTACTGACTGATTGAGTCACCAAGTATAAATAATATAAATTGAAACTTTTGGGTCCGCCTAGACTAAGCTTGTTACGATCACATTTGGCTTGAGTCTACAATAATCACCATTTACTCCTATGACCCACCCACCTTGCAATGAATTATCCAGATGGATATCAGCCAGAGCACTGTCAAACATCTCAGCATCAAAATCAAGCTCAATATCAAGATCATTGATAGAGAAATCATTGCTAGTTGGTAACGCTGGTCTTAACTGATTACCATCTTGGCTACTCATTGAGGGATACGTCATCTGAGGTTGTGTTTGTTGCATCAATGCTACCGATTGTGAACTGGATTGGATGCTGTCTGGAATGGCTTGAAGAGGTTGCATTAACGGCTTGAATATCAAAGGCTTCTCTTTGTTGGTTGAATCAGATGTTACCGCTGTCGTAACAGTTTCACTTGTGCTTGGTGGGAACACTAATGATTTCAGGGGTTGTGGGTTAAACACCCCAGAAACGGCTGGTATGGTAACAGCAGTAGGATTCACCAAGCCAGTGGCTTGCATCATGGAGGTTGGTACAGCAGGTGACTGTTTCATGTCTGAAGTCACAGACTGCTGATGTGGATTCTTGCTGGGTGTTGCTGAGAATGTGAATACAGTATTGGCGATGACGGCATTCGCTGCCAGGGTGTATGGAGGGGGTGGGGGCAACTGGGGCGGTGGGGGGATGTTTGCCTGCAAACTCTGTTGGAAAGTGGGGAACTGATTGAGAGGGTTTTGCGGGTGTAAGGGTTGGAATAAACTTCCTGATTGTGTGACTTGTTGGGAGGCTGTACTGGCAACAGCGCCCTCATTGATCGCACCTTGCGCAGGCTGAGTGACTGATCTATCGTTAGATCGCTGTCTCTGTACATGAGCATCATATGACGGCAATCTGCTAGCTTCGGTTGCTGATGTACTCTGAGGTTGACTTGTTGTCATCACTTCTTGAGTCGGTTCAGGTCTTGGTGGAGACGGTAGGTACGGCGGCAGTAAGACAATCTTCTGATGGATCCCTGGTTGATTCTCAAAACGATTCTTACAAGTCTTCAAGTTGGGGTTGCCATCCACCAACGCCCGTAGCTCTATCGATTCTTCATTAGTGATCAAGGGTCGACCGCTAACATCACGTACTGGTTGACCACATTGCATACTAGCGACGCTATTCTGACTGGTGTGCGTCGTTTCCTCGGATGTTAACGTGGCTCCCTGTACTGTCCCGCCTGCTGAGCTCCCTGGTACCCCACTAATATTACTCTGCTGATTTAACTGATAACCGACCAAGGTTGTGTTCCCAACGACACCTGTGCTTTCCACCTCGTTATAGGCGTTGAATAAGAGAACAGGTAACGGCGCTATCATGCTGACGTCTTGCAGCTGATTGGTCGATCTAGCCTGGCTCTGTTCGTTTGTCGCTGTGGTTGATTGGTTTGTGCTTAGATTGAATGTCCCAGAGTCTATACCAGGCTGGATGGACGAGGCTTCACTGAGGACCGACATAGGTGATGGTGGGACACTAGGGATACTCTGTGGGCTAGGGGCGGAGCTAAGAGCTGAACTGGGGGAGGAACCTGGTGCACCTAGGACAGGATAAAAACAAACTACATGTCACTTATTCAAATCTAGACTTGTAGGACTGTTAATCAGTAAGAATTGATGATAGGATATCCAGACTACATTACTGTCCTTGACAATATCACCACCATAAAACTAAAACAGAGTGGGTTATTTGTAATAAGAAAAAAGTAATGAAGGGAGTAAATTAATAAATTTCAGGAAGTGTTATAAAAAAAACCATCAACGGTGGCGTAGGAACCATAACCGCTTCCCCTTAGAAAAAAGTTTAGGAAGCAAATCAACATCTTCCTCTTCAATCAACTGTTAGTTCTGAACAGGATGATTTGTGACCGATTTTTTAAATACTATTAATATATCAAGAGAAATGCAATTGTGTAAGAACTAACCTGTGCTGGTACCAGCCTTGTCAGCTAGTGTGGTAAACACAACAGACTGTTGATCTTTATGGAGATTCTGCTGATCTTGTAAATCCAACAGGTACTGCACCACAATGTTAGCTACATCAGTCTCCTGTGCAAAGATAATTGATTGGATCTATAAACTTTATAGGGAGTCAGGTTGGCGTAGCGGTACTTTCCTCGCCTTCCACCGCTGTGACCCGGGTTCGAATCCTGCCTGGGCCAATATGTGGATTGGGTTTTAAGTCCCTGCCTGATTCCGTGGGTTTTCCCCAGAATATTCTTCTGGGCTTTTCCTCCCACCTCTAAAACTGTAACTTCTTCTCATTGTCTTCTCTCCACAGGTTTCTTCAGGCTTGCGAGCTACAGTGCCTAGGGCGCTTTTGAGGAATCCTTGGTTTCATTACCAGAAATGATTAATAATAATAATAATAATAATAATAACTGCAGCATGGTAATAACAGGTGTCAGCAAAAAGCCGAGATGAACAGTACTGGTTGACGATTGAAAGTATGTCTTCTGCTGAAGTAGCACTATTAACTTAACAGGCATGCAACTGGGAAATAACACCCCTCCCCCCAATAAATGGTTTTCAAATTTTAATGGCAAAAATGTGCCATGAAAAAAAAGAGGACCTCAGCTGATCCTAGGCGAGGTTTAAGCCTGTCTAAGGAGCAGGGTCTAGACCAAAGTCTTGGCTGGAATCACAGTAATCTTAATCCCATAATCACCTGTATGACATTGTATTATTGTAAATTATACAACACCTGAATAAATCCCCGTCATCTGATTGGAGGGTCGTTGATCACATGTCAATGAATTATTCGTACCAACGCACGGCGCGCGCGTGGCGCGAAGCGCACAGTGCAATGGAATAGAACTTCCATTGCAGGCTGTCTGCTGCTGGTGGTGGCGCTGTTTTAAATCGAGATAAATTGATAAATTGAATATGATTGTTCTCAACCTGTCAAATAGTTTGCATTAATATAAATATGATGAACTTGTCGAACTTTTAAACAGTTTTCAAACTGAATAAATTGGCTATTAAAAGTCAACCAATCAGATGACAAGGATTTATACAGGTGTTATATAAAACAAATAATGAATGTTGGACGCTCGTGCAATGGAAAGAATAATTTCATTCGGTGACAGATGAAATGTTCCATTCCACTCGGCATCGCCTCGTGGAATAGAACATTTCATCTGTCACCTCATGAAATTATTCTTACCATTGCACTCACAAACATTCACTATTTGTATACTAGAGTGCTGTGGCAGTTTTAGATGGTACAGGGAGTTCACGGTTCAAGTCATTTATTGAATATGGACACAGACAATGAGTAGTGAAATACATTTGAAAATTACAGTCACTGTTCAAATACGAGAAAAGAAAGAGAAATTTTAAAATAATTTTGGGCTAACTACCTAAATTTCCATAAATTGACATTGTACACAACACAATCAACAACTATTCATAAGATGGATTTTGCGTTGGGGTGATGTACATTGTAAATCGACAATATAAGCAATAACAAATATATATATATTTTGTATACAAATGCAGATTTTAGATAACTAAAAAGTTTTTTTCTGCTGTAAAGGCTAGTCCCTTACACTGTTTTTTTTATTCAGAAACAAACTCATAAAATGTTCCTGACAGAGGGAAGAAATGAATTCAATAAACAGAATGAAAATCTAAACAACATGAATAAGTAACGAGGCTCACCGATGTCAGATTGTTTCCATTCAGCTGCAACTGGGTTCCACTAACTGAATCACAAATGAAAGCAAAACAAACAAACAGATATTGAAATCATTTCTAACATAGTTGAACAATTGTTCTTTTGACAAGTTCAGAATCATGGTATAAGTGGAAAGCACATCTGGCACAGATTGTTTATTACAAGATCTGTTACCTCAAAACAGGAATATCACCTGGTGCATGTACGATGTACATGTAAGTGTAAGAGTAATTGCTTACAATACATTCATTTTCGAGGTTAAGACATGATTTATTATTTTAAAAATATTTGAGGTCAATAAACAAACACTATTTGAAAAAAACATTTGCGAAAAAATAACTCGCAAAAATTCCCAAAACTAATACGAGTATGTGCAATATATGGAATACATAGAGACTCAAAGTGCATATAGCACAATGTATTTCAAACTACATGTACATGTACCGGTATCATTGCTTTCATATGTGACCTGTTCTGTCAAAATCAGACTTTTCTGGTCATAAGGTCCAAAATGAGATTTTTGCATACTGTTAAAATATGTACATTTCCCTTTTAATAGGTGGTTTAATTTGTGAAACCTGTAATTCCTGGGCAAAGTTATGCTATTTCGAAGTTCATTGTGTCGAAAAGTAGAAATGGAGAAAATGGCCACGAACGTCACAAAACAGTAATTTCTTTAACTGATACACCTCAACAAATCTTTAAAAATACCATATTTAGAGTTCAAATTAGGGTTTCAAACTTTTATAGTATATTTTAGACATGTTCAGGATTTCAAATATATGCAAAAATTAGAAAATCGATAAAAATCACCCCCACAGCGTTTTTTGGCCCTATCTCGATTTCAACCTTTGCCCAGAAGCGTCTGCTTTTGACAGAACAGGTCACATACAGTGATTCTCTGAAATAAATGTGCCAATAAAAGTCATAAAATATGGACTGTGTTCAATACAATGTGCAGCTCCTATCATCTCTTCTAATCAACATGAAATTACAATGACAATGTTTATTCAAATCCTGATGTTAGTGCATCTATTGTACATGTATATGAAGGAAAAAATACACTTAAAAGAAACACATTATTCAGAAAGAAATACAAAGTAAGCTCTGAAAAGGTCAGCCTTCATCTATTATTGGCAGGAGACTATATGCCAAGCCATGTGCTTCACATATGACATTTACAGTTGTTGCTAGGGAAAAAAGGTCATCACCATAGCAACGGCAGCTTAGCCATGCGATTAGCATTGTGTTGTCATAGCGATGGCCATTAGTAGTCATTGGTAGGTGTTGCTAATGGGAGGGAGACGGCCTGATAGGAAACAGTTGGGTGTAGCTTGGTTACGGCCAAATTGGCATTACAAGGTTTCTGTGCTACACTCACCCACGTTGAAAAGTGGAATTAAGCCGTGTTTGTAAACAGCAAATATTGATCAGCTACACGATCAATAGGCTCAGCAACACCATCGCAATAGTGCAGGAGATAATGTACATAGAATATTGAACGCTTTTTTCCCACACCTAGTTTTCAAAACTTCCTGTCACATTTCAAATGCTTTCCGTCCAGCAAAGTACAATAAATCGACTCCAGGAAAGGACAATCACTGTCAGGAATACAATCTCTAAACATTCACTTCCCCTCCTTGCTTTTGTAAACTTCATACACACAACGAAAGGTATGAAAATGTGGTAGAAACAGCCAGGCCAGTATGTGTGTATCACTTTTTGTCAGGCTTAATGCCTCCAGAATGATCAGTACAAAGACTGTGCCACACCAGTAGGGGTGGATTTTGGAGGATATAGGATGATGCCATCAATGCCAGGGAGTTAGGGGGCAAGTCCAAGATAGTCATGGATTTTCAGTGTTTTTTATTCTACCGTTGGGCATCTGCAAGGAGAATACCCACAAGAATTTTTATGTTATCAGTCTTTACGATGATTATGTTATTGAAGAAAATAGGGTGTTACGCATAGGACAAAAAGGGTTTTTTTTCTTGGATTTACCCAAGGGTTAAAAGGGGTAAGATTGTGGGGGAAAATGAACAATCCACAAAATAATCAGAAGAAGATTTGGGTGCCACCGAGCACTGAGTGCCCCAGAGCAATATTGGCCCTCTAATTTTTATTTTTACATTTTAGGTCAATCCAGTCAGTAAGCAGTTTGCAACAGTTTTGTTCGTTTTGATATGTGTATTTCCTTATTTTTTGGACAGATCCAAGACAAAAGTGACTACTTACACATTGGTTTGATTTGTTGCAGGAGTTCTTCTCTCTGCCAGACAGTGCCTTTATATCCTTTAGTATCCAGCTGATACTGAGGGGTAGGTAGCGACGTAGGGAGGATGGAACTGACTAAGGGACTGCTGGTGATCTTGGAGGAATCCTCGCTAAGATTGGGCACATTTAGGTAGTGGACTAAAACTATGTCAGGATTCTGCAAAGAAAGGAAAAAAAGGAATAACTTAGAAAAAGGGATAACTTAGTAAAATGTTTATTATTAGTAAAAATGTTCATATTTATTAACTTCAAATTATTTGATATTAATTAACATCATATATATATATATATAAAAAGAAATTGACAAAAAGGATTTGATGCAACAACATACCACTTGAGCCATACAGACCTACATGTATGTAGTCTTTTGTACAAATTATCCTATTGTAAAGTCCGATCAAACTCGCCAGGTTTTGTTACCGAATTGAACATTTCACTACGCTCACAACAGCTCAGAAAGCATCACTATCAGACTATTCATTAAAAACCCTTCCATTAACAATGCAATCATGTATTTGGTTCTTGTTACAAATGATAATTCTAATAATTCATTTGATTCCTCTCTGTGCACTCACCTGTAGAAGCCAGTAGCTTCGTCTGTGGAATGTTGGGATGAGGGCCGAGTGTACATAGCTCCCATATATACACTGCAACAAAAATCAAATTGTTGGATCATTCACAGAATAGTCAGATATCATTCGCGTAAATACTGTGACTAGTCAATTCCCTCCACTGACAAAAGAGAAGGTACAGCCAGGGTTCGACCTTCGCGGTAGCCCGCTAGCCAAATGCTAGTCAAAACAAGGGCGGCTAGTTAAACTATTCCTTCAGTAACCAGGCTGGCGAGTCAAAAATTGTTGGGATACGACAAAGATGAAAGGACAGGAAGACTATAAATCATTAAATTCAGAAAGTAAACCTGTATCAATTTGTGTGTAATTTTATCACTTGTTAAGGGTTAAATTATATATTCTGTTTATAAAATACACTGATAAGATTGCCTCAGGATACACATTTTACATGTATGCACATTGTTGTTTATGAGACTAATGAAAATGCATGCGGGCTAGTTAAAGAGTCTGTTTCAGTAGCCCGGCTGGCTTGTGAAATAAAAAAGTTACGGTCGAACCCTGACAAGTGGCATATCAATCACCGCCAGTCAAAGCATGGCTATATCAAATTAACAAGGGAATTCTTAACTGCTAAAAACAGCCACTTGATTGATTTTGACTGCTGCGATGGCGTACCGGTAGCTAAAATTATGGGTCAGAGAGGGAGGGTTAACCGAAAACTCCAAACATGGTTGCTGAATGCAAGGGCCTTTTCCCCACAAAACATATCAATTGTCTCCACTTCTTCACTTTATTCATTTCAGGCCATCTTTTATTCCTGATAATTATCAATTCAGCAGCCGGCAGTAACTGACCTCAACTCCTTGTATTTTGAGCTTCATGTGATCCACCCGTGTCGTCCGTTCATTCTTACGTTTCTTCCAGAAGTAGCCATCTCTCCGGAATCGAACTCTCTTGCGATTGTACAGGACCAAGGAACCACTCTGGGGTCTATCAATGATAATTACGTGGATTGCATCAATTTAGAAACGATAGGCAATCTTAGATTTTACCTTACAAATTTTGTGGAATTGATATATTTGACATAAAAAAAAAATAAAACTTAACATTTGGGGACAAATAACACAAATCGAAATGATCAACTTCAAATGAAGAGAAGATTTTCTGCATACGTACAATGACAACTCTTTGTAAACATTTCTTGTAATGATGCTACATTGTACATACATGTATACACTGATTTCAAAGATTTATTAAATTGACAATGTACCGTACTTTTCAGAAACTTTGACAAATTTTAACCAATGTTGAGCAGAATAAGCATTTGATAGTAAAAATGGCTCAATAAATTACTTTCAACATTTTGCTGAAATTCCTGATTAGGAAAGGGATTAAACATGTTGAAAATAGTTCCTCGGGCCAAGACCCAATGCAAACCTAATGTAAAACAGACAAATAGACCTGATGACATCCCCATCGTATTCAACACAAATATCCAGCTGTCTAATAATGGGAGGCAGCTGGCTCGTCTAACTAATTACACAGCATTCCTTGGTTGACTGCTACCAAACCCCTCATATCTGATTAATTCCAGCAAATTGTCAATATGTTTTCCCTCAGTGATGTACCGTACCTGTAGAAATTTGACTTTGTGAATTTTTAATAAAGATATCCCTGTGATTAGCATTGACCTTTGAAAAAATAAAATATCTAATACATGTACAGTGTGCAGCTAACAAATTGATTGAAGCATGTCAAGCTAGGATCCAATCCCCAGGTCAACTAAGACGTACACACCTGTTTTCCATATTCATTTGGATGATGTTGCTAATTTACCTTGCATTTCTGCTTTTCCTGGGCCCAATTTTGCCAATACTGTTTTCTAAACTGAACTTTTTTGTGAGCTTGTTGTTTATATATCCTCTGCCCATTTCTTAGGGTTGCAGACCAGTAAACACACTGCCATAGACCTCAGTGGTAATAACGCGCACTTCTCTAAATTATTAAAAATACTCACAACTCTCCAAGCTGTTCAAGATGCACATCAAATTAAAGCTTATTTCATCATCTTTCATTTTCTTTTCAATTTTTTTTTTTTTTGGGGGGGGGGGGGGTAATCCAATGACTTTTAGGAGAAATTTCCATCCGAAGATGATCACCCCTAAAAATAGTCCTGAAGCCCATCGCCATTTTCAAAAAATGCCTAGATGCTCCATTGCAAAATAGAGCGCTTTTAGTGCTCAATTTCATTTAAATTTCACAGAAACACAAGCTCACAGTCCTGTGCACGGCTTACACCCAAGGTTCTTTTTTACAAACTCTCAAGTTCATGGCCCAGAAAATGCTCTAAGGGCATGCAAATCGCAATTTGGCCGGCGGAGGCAATTTTGGGCCTACCGGGGTATTTACTGGTCTGGACCCTTAGAGACCAAAATTAGGAAGAGAAGTAAACAGAATTACATGTACATGTACATGTATGTACTTCACTGTTTTTCACAATTTGCTTAAAGCAAAGAGGCAATAAAAGAAATTTCCAGCGTGCACAGGTGTTCATGTGTATATGCACATTTCTGACTGCATGTACGGTACCGGTAGGCACAGCTTTTCTGCTAGCCGTCTTGTGGTGCAATCAAATTGGCTCTTGACAATTACAAATGCAAGTCATGATGCCGGAAGGCTCTTAGCCAAGACACTGAAGGAATTAATGTTCTGCTGACAGATGGATTTGCATTCAACTACAAGAACCAAGCACCATCTAGGGATAACACTGCTGAGGAGCAGGGACTGACATCCATGAACTCACACCATTGCAGATTAGTCCTACTCTTTGAGAGTCACACCAAACCAAAATACATAGAAATCAAATCTATAGAAATCAACATTCGAGTCTGCTTAACTGATACGAAAAGGTTCATAAAGATCATTTGCTATTTGTGCAATTCTTTTTTTCAAACTTGCTCAAAATCTTACGAAGGGTGCATAACAACCAACTTGTATAAGTTTGGGCATGGTGGACACTGAAAAGAACAAAGGAAATGTGTGCACAGTTTTTGTGATCTCATTCTTGTGAATGCCATTTCAGGTAGAATAATTTCACAAGGTATTTGGTACCATCCCTACAATCACTTTGAGTAAGGTTTTTCTCGTCAAACTGGTAGGTCCCTTTCTGGGTACTTCTAAATGTTTCTACTTGCCTTTAACATGTTAGGTTTGCCTGTCTGAAAGCAAAGTCTTTTGAGTCGACACGAGTCGTTCAGATAGATGTAACATCATAAACACTTGACATACCTGTTCTTTGTAGAGGTGCTGAGCCATTGGTCATGGCAGTCAAAACTGATCAGCCAAGACGCAATCTCCTACAATCAAGAAACAAGATAAAGAAACGCATCACAAAGTAGTTAACTGAATTGTCTACAATAATCAGCTAGTCTGGTTGCCGTAGGCTATGGCAGAGGCAGAGTAAGCCTATTTGCCAGTCCAGCCGATATCCAATCTGATCTAATTGCCAATCTTCCGGATGTCAACATCTTACCCGTCTACGTATCTCATGGTTACAGGGATGCTGAGCCTGAGATTGTCTTGTCACATTCTCTAATACAGCTTTCTCAAACTCAGAACCTACAGTATGGTACAGACCTACTCGCACAAAACAAAGGGCATGTGAAGTCATTTTGGGGTGGACCTGACAATTTTGAGGTTTTGAGATTTTCTGAATCAGTAAATTTACAACCCCCAAAAGTTTCTTCGTTGATTTAGTGAAAAAAATGTGTATAGAAATTTATACAAAAAGCATTTAAATACGCATGTTTTTCTCATGATTTGGTTGTCAGGCTTTTACTTTCTCCCTGGGGTGCTATGGTAACGGTATCTACATGAAAATAATGTACACTGCATATCATTTGGACGGTGAAAACCTCACGAATTTGAAAATAATTTCATTAACCCTAACTCCCGATGCTAGGATGCAACCTCAATCCTGCAAAATCCTCCAGCAATTACTGTCAATATGTTGAGGCAGAGCCAGTGACATCCTGGAGCAGTGCGGAGGATTTCAAGCATAATCTTAAAGCCTAAATTTATGCATGGCTGAGCATAAACAACACAAGGTACGGCCCAAGACCTTGCCACAGTGCAACCTCCAAAATCAGGCACACATTTTAGCCATAGCCCCAAAATCCTGCAAAATCCTCCATTTTGAAAAGAGGATTTTAGAGGAATTGGGAAGTTGAGTGTTAATGATTCATGATAATTTTATTTAAATGAACAATTACTTGTTCCATGTTCCATGGAAATAAATAATTTACATTTTCAGTCGGAATAAAAGAAATAAAATATTCACTTTTAATACCTCATTAAAACCAAAATGGCACTCTGTACGTATGCATACATGTATGAATATTTTATTAATACTTAAATTTTATTATCAAAAATATATTGAAAAAGTCACCATGCGTATCATATTGAGCAACTGCTTGCATTTTCAGATTCAATTCGGTTTGATTCAGAATAAGATTTGCAATATTTTAAACGCAGCCTGTTCATCAGACGCATCGTTCTTGTACACAACTTCCCAAGCATGCTGATATCTCCAGGCACTTCCGTTCAACTTTACAAGGCAGCACACCTCGATGCAAAGCCATGCCGCATGCTAATCAACGGAAGCTGTAGATTATGTGTCCATGCACAGTAATTGATCCCACTTTCTCTCCTAGACTACAAGCTAGGCAGGTGCCTGCTACTCAAGATGAAGACAACTCAATTCACCTGCCTTCTCCTCGGCAATCCAGCCTGTAGATTTGCATTGGAATTAATCATGAAGAATCAGCTTTCTGTGAATGTTGGGCATTTCAAGAGCTGAACTGAGACAATACATTGATATTTAACCAGGTTCAATACAATCTGTATAGAACCTGATGATCTTATCTGATGTGTTACTCAGATTATGTACATGTACAATGTAGGTTCAATCAAAATTTACGGATGAAAAACTATGATAGCTGTATTTGAAGAATCTTTTTAATAACAGAAAATAGAAAACTGCTTTAAAAAGCATACAAGTGTATTTCTATCAGTTTTTAAAAGTAAAAATACGTAGACCTGTACGGTACACACATGTATCTATTTCTTATATCTAATTCTCAATTCTTAAGGTGCTTCATCCTTGTTTTTCCCAACAAAGACAGTAATAACGATCCAAGAATGAGGAAATTTAAAGGGAAAAATCATAATGTTGGTCTTTTTATAAGCTTCAGAGATTACATTGATTGTGAAAAAAAAGAGACTCAACAGAAGAAGAAAACTCATAAAAGTTGCCTAAATACAAGACCTGAACCAATTTAGTCCACCGACCGTTCCAATTCAATGACAAATTGCCAATAAAGCGAGTGCCGTGCGTTTAGACTTCCTACTGCGATTGCCACTTTCCTCATAATTACATTTTACCAAGGTAACAGAACAACATCATTTCCTTCAGCGCTGGCGTAATCAGGCAGGATCGGAGGGCAATTCATCCACGATGAACCAGTCCCACTAGACCACGTTCAGCTTCCCGAACACTGGAATTATCAAGCTAATGAATCTGTACCTAACAGAGAGGCTTGGTCATTAGTATAGATCTTTTAATTGGACGGTCTCCAAGCGGCCTTTTCACTGAGCCTTTGATGGGCTTTGCTGATGTGATGTAAAACTACGGTCGTACCTTGATGTACCATGAATGCCAAGTTAAAATGTCAAGGTCTGATTGCTGCACGATTCATTGTTATCAATCCAAGCAAATGGGAAAATATACATGTAAAAACAAGAAACGGTCAGAAGGGATACTGTACCGGCACTAGATGGAAACTGATGCATTTGGCTTGTTAAATATCCCGTTCTTTTTGCTGGTAGAGTAAAAATGTTGAGATAAAATATGTACAGTGTATGTACCTGATACGTATATTTTGAATATTTTCAACACACAATAATTTTACAAAATGTAATCAGTTGCAGCATTTCACAGGGATTTTTTTACTTGTAATTAAATGCAAAACACACATATCCCAGTTGATTTACCCAAAAAATATGTACATCATCACGAACATGTACATCCACACATGTACATGTACAAGTTAATCCAAAACGTACAACATGTATACGGTACCGGTACATTTATGTACATCATGTGTGACGTTGACATTATAATAAATTTCTCTGTGTATTTCCTTACAACATTCCCCGTAAAAATTCCCTTCTTTTTAATTAAATTTCTTGCCCCAATCTCTGATGTGGAAATAAAACTCTGACCCAATCGGACCAGGAATTGAAATTGAAATGGAAGCGAACTGATATGAGAGGTTGTCACACATCAGTGATGGACTAACAAGGCTTATCATCAGTGAGTGGTTCTTAACTGGCTTCTCTGACCAGTTGTCACTTCAGACAGGAATTCCAACATGCCTGGATATCTCAGCAGTTGAGATCTCTCCACCCGCTATCTCTCCTATGGGATCTTGTTTGGTTTCAGGAACGTGTGGGCGGAAAGATGATACGCTGCACTTTTGTCCGGCCAAGACAGCGGCGTGAACCCACAATGCCGTGCTGCCGTTATTGTGGTCAGACCGACCAAAGCGATAATCTTGTCAATGAGTAGATGTGAGATTTGATTAATGAATTGGCGGAGGATAGGAGTCAGTAAAGTAGACAGATTGAAGTGACTGTTTCTTAGTCTGGTTAATCATTGTGGTGAGAGCGCTTGAGAATTAACCAACCAAACCATCCAAATAAACACTACAGTTGGTGATTTATTTACATATGCTGCAAAACACCTACTGTATAGGGCTCGATTATTATGGACGAGTCACTAGTTGCAGGTTGTAGTCAAGTATTAAATTTACCTGAAAGAGACACAGAATATTATATTCAGTATCTGCAAGATTTGTTGGAAAGAGCAATTATGGAAAAACTACCAGTACATCTGTTTAAACATAAAATGACAAATACATGTACCTACTACATGCAGCGTATGGGGATCCTGAAGTACATGTACATGTACATTGTGTATGAGACCATAAGTCTGGGTTTATGAAATTATACAAAATTTGAATGTACATCGAGACAACAGATCCGACAACATCCTGAGACAAACTTAAAAAGTTGTTAAGCAGAAAAATTTCTAATGTATGGAAAGCCAAGCCAGAAACCAGCGAATCAATAAATAAAACTCAACAATGAAAGTCTGCATTTTCTTTATTTAGATCATTTGCATTTATCCCAATGTAACCTACTGATTTATTTTAAAAACAAATTACTTGGATCAAAGTACTAATATGAACACCCCGTGAAATTACTCCATCTGGCTCGCTGTCACGTAGAAGTGATTTCAACCGATCAGTCCATTTGAATTTTGGAATATTAGTGCTGGAAAATCGTGCTTGACGATCAAAAGGTTATGCATGGTCTGTTTACATGTACTTGAGAAGTGTAATATCCACCGAGTAGAAACTTTAACAGTTTCGGTTTTGAACATTCCCCTTTGGATTTTGATTTGTCCTGTACAAATGTATGCCTTAAAGGGAATATACGTCATTTGCTTTTGCTGTATTTTTCAGAAATGGATGGAATTGGGGGGTTGGAAATATATAGCAAATATAGTTACACTGACTTTTTTGAGGTTTTGGGTTCGAAAATGCTATAAAAACCAAGAAAAACGATCATTTTCCTGTAGTCTGGTTCCCTGACTCCATATAAGAAGAAACAGAGCAGTTTACATACATTGGGGAATTGTAAGCTGGCTTGTACCCGTTCATAGGTGTGTAATCGATTGCAAACAAGTGCGATGGTCAATTGGGGCCAGTATTTGAAAAAAAGCCAGTTTTTTCCAACGCTGGTCGGCCGCCGAGCGTTGATACAAAAATATCAACCGAAATTGATACAAAAATACCACTTTTCTTGAAAATGACAGTATACCAGGTGCCATGATTTTACAGGATGCTTTACATTGCTAACAGTCCAGCAAGGTATTTTAATATGATTTGGTAGTTTTATTTATTGATGTTTGCAAATGTTGTATTTTCCCTTTAATGCCCAGTAAACATACTGGTACATTGTACATGTGTACAACTCCTCTGGTAATATTAGACTAGGACAAGCATACACAGCTCTCTTGTTTATTGTAAAACCCTTCATGTTGGGATGATTAAATAGTTGAATTCATGTTGGTCAAATACATTGACAGGCAGAACACGACCCAAGATACAAAGAATGATGAATTCGACACACGATACCGGCGGAGAATGCGGATCGTGGAAATCTCTTTCTCGCTTTATCACTGTCCGTGCTCGTTATCACATGACTACCGCGACTTAATTTATGCTCCTTC